ATTTTATTAATAGTTTATACTTATTTCTGAAATATGAGGAAGCTATAGGTGCTTGATAAATATGTGTTGCCTTGACACAGAACATGTTTAGGTAGAGTCTCAATTTAGGGGGCCATTTCAAATAATAATCTTAGACTTAAAATTATGGATCGCCCTATTGCTTGAATCCTCTATAAAATATTGATTGATTTAGGATTTCTTGATCTACTACTATTTTTAAGCCACTTTGTATAGGTTAAAGTGGTGCAGTTATCATAATAATTGAACCTTAAGTTCTGAAGCTAGTGCTTCTAGGTCTAAATCCTGGCTCTGCCATTCACCTGTTAGCCTAGCTTTAAGACCTTGGTGAAGTTGCCTAAATTCTTTCTCTGTTTTCTCATTTTTAAATGAAAACAATAATAGATTGTACTTATGAATTGTTACATTACATACAGTGTGTGACAGTGCTATGACAGTGTGGAAGACATCATAAATTTGGTAGGAGTTTGTTATAATTTTGCATGTCTTATGCATGAGTATCTCCTCAGTCATAGTATATATTATGCCCAGCCTATGATTTAATCATGGAAGGATTTATTTATTTATTTATTTATTTATTTATTTATTTATTTATTTATTATTTTTTATTATAAATTTATTTTTTATTGGTGTTCAATTTGCCAACATATAGAATAACACCCAGTGCTCATCCCATCAAGTGCCCCCCTCAGTGCCCATCACCCAGTCACCCCCACCCCCCTGCCCACCTCCCCTTCCACCACCCCTAATTCGTTTCCCAGAGTTAGGAGTCTCTCATGTTCTGTCACCCTCTCTGATAGTTCCCACTCATTTTTCCCTCCTTTCCCCTTTATTCCCTTTCACTATTTTTTTATATTCCCCAAATGAATGAGACCATATAATGTTTGTCTTTCTCCGATTGACTTGTTTCACTTGGAAGTAAATGTGAAACTTATATACAGTGTTAGCACATAGAAAATATTGTAATGGAAGCTTTTTAAGTCTTCCCATTTTATTTTAAAATAGTTGACTTTTGTTTTCTTGATACTATTTTGATAAGTAGGTGCAGCTTTTTTTGTGGGTATTCCAAGGTATGTAACATTTTTCTCTCACTTTGTGTATGTATATTCTTTTGAGTCAGAATCTACTGAGGAGTTCTCTGTGTAGCTTGCTCTTCCATTTTGAATTCTTACTCTTTCTTAAAGGTTAATGTACCATAGTTTATATCAGAATTTTGTTTTTGTGGTCCTCTTAATTCCTTTTGAACTGTTTTTTTTCTTTATGGACACTGATCATGGGATTATATTTCTGGGTTTTCTTTTTTCAGCTTCTCAAAATGCAATTTAGGTAAATTCACTAAAATGCCAAGGGGAAAAGTTGAAAGATTCTTTAAAGCTATACTGTTCAATATGTCGTGATTTAGCAATCTAGGACTATTGACTTTTAAGATGTAGCTAGTCTAAATTCAGCTGTGCTATAAATGTGAAGGACATAGGATTTCAAAGACTTAGTATGGAAGACAGGGAACTAGCTTGTTAATAATGTTAGTTATATTGACTATAGATGAAATGATATTTTTGATATATTGGGTTAAATAAAATATATATTGGGTTAATTTTACATGTTTCTTTTTATCTTTTTAATGTTGCTCCCATTATGTTGTTTTTGGACAGTGCTGCTTTACAGAATCATAAGACAGTTAAGCATATTTAAGTCTCTGAGATATCCTGCAATAAAGAAAGCTGTTTAACTTAAAAAAGAAATTATTGACAAAGTGGCTTAATCATACAACAACTTTTATTAGACTCTAAGGATTTAGGGTTCTGAGGATTAGCTTGAGAAATTCTGGTCTAAAAAAATATGTACCTAAGCCTAGAATTCTGTTTGCTATCCCTAATTAAATTGAACACAATGCAATATTCTCTGAAAACTCCAAACACATCCATTTCCCAATTTGATTTTTATTGGTTAGCAACAATTTGGTTGGGAATAATATTTTTGCTTCATATTTTCCTACCTCTTAAGAGATTATATCCCACGAGTACAAGCCATGTGTTTACTTTCAGTTCATTGAGTATTCTAGCCCATATGCAGGAGTCTGCATTCTTCCACAATGGCATAAGCATTAGTCCATCACCATACCTTTTTCTGAGGGCAAGCCTCCTTTTTTTTCCTCTGTTCATATTAACACAACATCTACAAATTGGCCTCCTATTGCCATTTTTGCTTCTCTCCTAATCTTATACCATTCATATATCATTTCAAAGTAAAGCTTTTAAAATAATAATTGTTAAAAAGTCACATTGTTTTCCTCTTAAAATTCCCCACTTTTCCATTGCATTTAGGAGTGAGAAAAAGCTAACATCTTTATTATGGCCTACATGATCAGCACCTCTCCTCCTTCTTACTTGATTCCAGAAGCTCAGGCTGGCCTTTCTCAGTTACACTAAATTCATTGCATTTCCAGGGTTTCTATTCACTCTGCTTTGAAAAGTCCTTACCAAACTGTCTTGAAGCTTCCAGACCTTCCCTCTTGATCAGATTGGCAGATTTCCAGACAAATATATCCTTCCTCTTCTTAGTGACACATACTTCATCCTTAGCCAAGAGTCCTTCAGTGTGTAATCTTAAACCACAGTCTAGGAAACTACATCCTATCTTACCACCATCCCAGTAAACAGACCTTCATTTTTATCTTTTTTTTTTTTCTTCCAGAGTTTCATCCTAGGTCTTTTCCCAGGTTTTGCCTAAGATTTCATAGGTCTTAGTTGCATTTCAGGATCTTTGAGGAAATAAATAGTATTAGCCCTCATATAAATCAGAAAATGTGAGTAGTAATTCATTATTTTTGTCATGTTAGACCTTTATGTATTTTAATGTGGGCTGGTGAGGAGAACTGAGCTCTTTTCTCTTAAGCCTGGGAATAGAGAGGACATAGGTCTGTGTGCCGAATGATCCAGGAAAAATGCCGGCAGCTACGCACAATGAAGGAATTTTACCCCTACAAACGGGGTATTCCTCTGACCTTTCACCTTGGGTTTACAGTATTTCTAAAAAGTCATTATAAAAATACACTTTTCCCTACATGACAGTTTGGAGATGATGCCAAGAGAATGTTGGCTGTATCTTTGAGAATGTCATAGTGGAAATTAATTCATCAATACCAGGATCACTTATAGGGAAGCATTATAAGCATTTAAGGAACTTTTCAAAGAAGATAAAGAAAAACTCCTCTGGAAGTATCTCACCCACCTAAACGTGAGAAATTGACCTGTTAAGATGTCTATTTTATGCCATATGCCCTAATAGTTTTGTTACAAGATGTATATTTCATTTTTTATTATATCCATTTTAAGTCATCTCTGATACATGGGCTTTAAAATGAGAAGTGGAGCTAAATAATTAATCTTAGAGTCCTTACTTTTGAAAATGCTATTAGATTGGGTCTTTATCAGGTATGTTTTTCACATGCTTGGCTTCATAATCTCTCTTCCTCCTCCTATATTGTTTGTCTGGAATTGGCACTAAAGATAAGACAGAGCAAAAATCTGACTCATTGGCAACCAATCAGAAGAACTTTAAGTAGAAAACTCCCTTTAAGGAGGTAAAAGCAGCATAAACAAAACTTTGGGAACAGTGGAAGCAAAGGTAGAAAAATATGGTTGAAGTGGCTAGGATAATTAATACTTATTTAAATAATTATTGTTTAAAAGCTATCATATTTCACTTCCTACATGAAAATGGCTCTTTTTTTTTTTTAAGGAGACACCTAACTAAATATTCATCAGAAATGTTCACCCTTTGAAAAATTTGGCAGACGTTAGTTATATTTTTTCTAATTATCTTCGGCTTGGTAAAATATCCAGATAATTGGATATTATAAGTCCAATAGTTTGGACTTAAATAGTTTGCTTAAAATGATTCAAATTTTCAATTAGAGCATAAGCTTTAAAAAAACAATTTGGGGACGCCTGGGTGGCTCAGTGGTTGAGCGTCTACCTCTGGCTCAGGGCATGATCCTGGGGTCCTGGGATCGAGTCCCATGTTGGGCTCCCTGCATGGAGCCTGCTTCTCCCTCTGCCTGTGTCTTTGCCCCCCCCACCCGTGTCTCTTATGAATAAATAAATAAAATAATAAAAAAAAAACAAAACGATTTGGGCAACTGACAGATTTTAGCAGATAAAGAATATCCCAGAAACAGATACATAAATGGATATTTTACTTCTGATAATTGTACTTAAAAATTATTATTATTAAAGATTTAAGTGCTTGACACCTTTGTGTGACCAGAGAGAATTTAAAGATCTCGGTGTTTGTTTTTTTTTTTTTTTTAACAATGTGGTTATATTGAAATCTGATAGACTATTGATTTTAATATTTTCTTTGAATCTTTAGGAGAATTAACTCAATTTCAAACCTTTATTTATTTTTTAAAAATATCAGAACCAGAAAAACCCAAGAAACTTAAAGCCTTCAATATTTCTGTGCATTCCTTTTCTCTGTACTGGAGCCTGCCCTCTGGCCATGTGGAAAGGTTTCATGTGGATCTTGTTCCTGACAGTGGCTTTGTTACTATCAAAGATCTTGGAGGTGGAGAGTATCAGGTATAGTTTTCATTTTCGTACTTGCCAAGCCAACTTGTATTTATATTTGGTCCTCATAGGAAAGTGCTTTATGAAACTCATACGCCATGAATACTCACTCTTCTGAGAGTTTTTAAAAGGCATAAAATGAAGACAAAAACACTGATACTGAATTGATGAGTGTAAGTTTCAGCATGGGTGGACTGTTACCTTAGCAACGTCTATGCCTTTTTTTTTCTTAAGTCTTACCAGAACCTACAGCCAGCCATCCAAGGGTTCATGAATAGTTTAACAAAGAAAGGGCAGAGCTATTGAGTAATCCAGGCTCATTAATTGTGTACTTGCCAGGAGGATCTGTCTTTAAATCATTAATGCAGGCAACATTTCTCTCTAGAGCCATCAATGTGATTCCACTGCCTGAAAAATGTAATAATGATGGATTTTCTTATCATTTTTCTTTTACTTTTTATTGGAACTTCAGAGACCCAGGTATTTCATATATACTCCTAAAAACAAGGGTTAAACAATGGGCTGTAGATTTCCTAAGACTCTTAAATAGTTGTTTCTTGTGATAATAAACTAGAGAGATTGAAATACTGATTGAGTTTTTGATAGCACAGTAAATTTTGTAAGTTTTTCTTACCTGTTATTTGGTAAATAGTTATGTGATGGAACAAATTTATATTTTACAATAATATGGAACTTGGAATATTTTAAACAGTGCAGAGTTATAGAGTGAGATGTTCTTTATTTTCTTGTTGTGATAGATTTATTGTTTTAGCTTTCTTGTTTTCCACAAAGTTTTAACACAATTCTTTGCTTTGGGTGTTCTAGGTTGATGTTTCCAATGCGGTTCCTGGTACTAGGTACGATGTAACTATCTCTTCTATTTCTGCTACCACATACAGCTCACCTGTTAGTAGAACAGTGACAACGAATGTAACAAGTGAGTATATATGTCTTCCCTTTTTATGAAGTAGTATTTGCAGCTAATATAACTCCATTGGGTGGAAATACTTACATGAGTCATATGTGCTATTTTTTTTCACTAAAATGAAAACAGGTTAGTAATTAAAGCAAAATGGAAACTTAAGAAAGTGATCTGTTTAGCATCTGTGTTCTACTGGTTCTTTAGCTTTCTTGACTTTCAGAGAGTAAAGATAATTATACTTGTTTGTGAAATGGATCAGACACTGTTAATGGTAATATTTAAATAATCCAAAAATAATAATAATCCAGAGCCAAGAAGATAAACTCACTGCTCTTGCTTAGGAAGAATTATTTAGTTGGTAAGACTGTATTCTTGCTCTCTTAGTTTTATGGGGAAGCTTTGCACAAATAAGTCTCTTTTAAAAATGATCTGGCGTGAAAAGGGTATTTGGCATGTAGTATGTTGTAGCATTCCATTTTTTACATTCTTATAAAAGAATGTTTTTGGTATCCCCTAAGGCATTTAGTCTTTTTTTTTTTCCCTTTGGTAGCAAAGCTCGAGGGAGGATAAACTCACATTTGAGAGACCGTTAGTCTTTGGGAACTTCAAAAGCATACATTTGTAAAACAAAACAAAACAAAACTTTCTTACTTATGATTTTGAAGATACAATAATCGTTTGACCTTTTAACAACATATCTTTAAAAATAGAACCAGGACCTCCAGTCTTCCTAGCAGGAGAAAGAGTTGGATCTGCTGGGATTCTTCTGTCTTGGAATACACCACCTAATCCAAATGGAAGGATTATATCTTACATTGTGAAATATAAGGAGGTTTGTCCATGGATGCAAACAGAATACACACAAGTTAGAACAAAGCCAGATAGTCTGGAAGTTCTTCTTACTAATCTTAATCCTGGAACAACATATGAAATCAAGGTAATATTTTTGTTAATATTTAGTATTAAGTATTAATACTCAGTATTAAAATATTTCATTCATTTTTAAAGTGAAGGAGCTCCTTCTCACTGAACAAACATCTATAGTTGAACATAGCCAAGTGACTAAAGAACGATCATCTGAGTCATAACCTCAGTGCCCATCTGGGCTCTTAATATTTGAACTATTATAATTTCTTTTCATTTTTAAGGGTATTCATATAATTTATTTATTTTGAAAACATTTGATTTAGCTACTGTTTCAAAGAATAAATCAAGCTTAAATTACATAATCTAGGCTTTTTAGAGGTAAAATATTCTACTTTTTCACTAAATCTAAAGTTAGTTTTTGTATTTTTCTCTTAATCTTCTTGTATTTGTATGTCTGTCATCAAACTTTGAATAATGGTATGAAAGTTTCTATCGAGCCAGTTTCTCAGAGAACAATGTATTCAATTCAATTCCATTCAATAAGTGTTTCCTGAAATTTTACCCTGTTTTATTGTGTTTATAAAAATGTTTAGTTCTTTACAGTGTTTAATATGCAAAATTAAGCATCTTATTTAAAAATTAAATAAAGAACATATAAAAAGCAATCCTAAATTAGGCCATATGAAAGTGTTATAATTAAGATATATTTGTGATATTTCCAGAGTATAATAAAAGATACAGATATCTTTTTGATCCTTTCCATTTTCAATATAACATTAATATGTTCTTTGAGCTTTTAAGATAATTAAATATGGAGAAAGAATCTATAAAAGCTGTATAAATATAAGACATAACTGAGATGGCTTTCTGGATGGTAAGAAATGATGGGAAAGAGAATTTGCCTGGCATGGGGTTTCCTTATTGGAAGCATGCCTATTTGTGGAATCAAAGCACACAGTAAGAATTAGAGAGCATCCCAATAGCAGGGATCCCTCATATGAGAAATAGTAAAAAAGGAAATTTTTACTGATGCAAACCCAAGGTGAAAGTCAAAGATTCATGATGACTATTTCATTGCAGAAACATGAGTAAAGAGTAGGAAACCTTTTCTAATGGACATCTAAAAATGACATAGTATGCATATTTTCTATCAACAAGAACATATTCAGATTAGTTTATATGTTAAAATATTGAAGGTAATAAGTAAAAGTTACTATTTAAGGTAATATATAAAGATATGTAAAGGTGATATTTAAAGTTTAAATTTTAATGTGATAATAAGCTATTGAAGACAGAAAGGTAATTTAGCTAACTGAGTTCTGCTTAGATCTATTTTTATGGAGTATGAATTTTTATTCCTTTAAATTCTCTTATTTCAGGCCTATTGGGAAGCCCTTATTCTCCTTTTAATCTCATACTTTATAAATCATTGTTGTGACCTTTACGCTGTTCCAAATAAATGTTAACCATTGCAGAATTCCGAAGGGTATTTGGTGCAGTACATTGATATCTTCAAATGTAGATATCAAATCTACATGATCTGGGGAAAATCCTATTAAGTACTTTGCATGTGTTATTTCAATTAGTCCTTAGAACAATTCTATGACATAGATATATTGTTATTCCCATTTTAAAGAAAAGGAAAATGTGACTTAGAACAGGGCTAAGTAAATTACCTACATCTACTCATTGGGAATTGGTGGAGTTCAATTTAAATACGGTTTTCAGACTCCAGTTATGGCATTTGGAAGAGCGTAAGAGTCTTGAGCTCAATAAGGATATTTTCTCTGCCTATTCTAGGCTATTTGACTAGACTATCTGAGTCAAAAAGAATTTTTCTATTTTTTAAATTCAGAATACTTAGTCTCACTGATTATACTCATTTTTAAAATTTTTTTCTTGAGTATGTATTTGACTGGTTAGATTGTAAACTCTCAAGCCAGATACCATAAACATGGTCTTGTATTTGTTACAGAAATAGTCATAGTGTCTGGTATCAGGTAAATATAATGGAAAGGAGTTGAACTTTAGAAATAAGCATGACTTCAATAGATTCTTGTTCTACAACTTATTTCTGTATGACTCAAGCAAGGTACTTGACTTGTTTCAATCAGTTTCCTCATTTATAAAATGCTGTTAAGAACACCTTATGTTTTGATTATGTGGACAAAATGAGATATGTAAAATTTCTAGGAGAGTTCCTGGTACATAAAAGTTGCCCACAAATAGTAACTGTTACTATTATAACTACTAATTGACTATAAAACTTGACTATTAATTTTTTTCCATCAGGAATTTAAGAAACCTGTTGAATCAAAATATGCTGCAAATACACCCTTAAGGAAAATGGAAATATGGAATAGCTCCATGTGTGCTTTATGCTTTGAGAATATTGCAGGAATTAAGGAAAAAGTGTCTTTGCCATTAAACTTATCAACAAGTCAAATTTTATTGTTTCAGATTCTGTTTAATTAGAGAGTAAAAAGTTTGAACATAATTCTTTCTGTCTATTTTAGGTTGCTGCTGAAAACAGTGCTGGTATTGGAGTGTTTAGTGACCCATTTCTTTTCCAAACTGCAGAAAGTGGTAATTTGCCTAAATCATTTATTCTAAATTAACTTAATTATAAGTTTTTGGCATTTAAGATAAATAGCTATATAAACCAAGTAAGGGTGTTAAAATCTATAAAATTTTCAACAGCATGGCCATCCAATTACTTTTAGAATCCTCTTGGATAGTTATTCATTAAAATATATATTGTTCTTTCTGATTATAAAAACAGTAAGTGTTATCTTAAAAAAAAAGCTTTGAAAAAATAAGAAACAAACAGTAAAAATTATCCATGGCCTTGTCATATAAAAACTCCGTTCCCATTTTGATGCATTCCCGGCTGGTCCTTTTTTCTCTCCTATATATGTGTCTATATGACTATGTACTAATGAAAGTAGGCTTATGCCATCTATGCAAGTTTATATCCCACCTTTTCCTGTTAATATCAAATCATATGCATTTTTATGACATTGGACTTTTGGAAATACAGATTTTTATAGTTATATTATTCCACAACATGTAGTCATTACCAAACCAATTTAAGATACCTCCCTTCTTTCAATGATGGAGAGGAAAGAACTTGATGTATCATTGATGCCTCTTTCTCATAGTATAGTCTATCAGCAAATCTTTTTTTTCTATCAGCAAATCTTGCCAGAACTACATCAAAATGCATCCTGAATCTCACTCTAATTGCAAATCACTCTAATCTATCATCACTTCTTGCCTGAACAATTAAAAGTCTCCTTACTGGTTTTCTGGTTTCCAGCTTACCTGTCCACAGTTCCCCCTCTCCACAAGAGCTACATCATCTTTTGAAATATAAGCCAGACTATATTACTTCTCTCTTCCTAGTATGGTTCTATCTTATTCAGAAGACTGTAAGTCCTTCCCATGGTCCACAGCACTCTGAATGCCCTTTTCCCTCTCTGATCCATCTCTAACTTTTCTTCCTTCCCTCCAAATATACCACCTACACCTATCTTCCATCAAAAGGCCCTTGCATGGGGATTCCTGAGTGGCGCAGTGGTTTGGCGCCTGCCTTTGGCCCAGGGCGCGATCCTGGAGACCTGGGATCGAGTCCCACATCGGGCTCCCGGTGCATGGAGCCTGCTTCTCCCTCTGCCTGTGTCTCTGCCTCTCTCTTTCTCTGTGACTATCATAAAAACAAAAAAAACAAAAACAAACAAACAAAAAAAGGCCCTTGCATTTGCTGTTTCCTGTAACTGGAATACTCTTTCACTCAATAGCCCTGTCTCTCTCCCCTAGTTATTTCAAATCTCACATTAACATTCCTAATTATACCTTCTAAAATAACCTCTATTTTCTCCTGTTCATTTCTAGTCCTAACAAATTCTCTTTGGTCATTGGATCAGCTTGATGCATTACACATTTACTTGGTTATTTTTTATTGTATATATCAGCCTAGTAGAACATAAGCTTTGTGATAAAAATAAGCTAGTGAATGGAGGTGCTTTTATTTATTTAACAATTCCTCTATACATAATAGCAAAAAGTTAGAACCAATAAGTGCAAGATGATTGAATAAATAATGGCATCTCCATTCAACAACAAATATTTTCTGTGGAACTTACATTCTTGTAGGCTAAAGTAAATGAGTTACTGAGTAATATGTCAGGTTAGTGACAAGTGCTATAAAAAGAAATTGTATAATTTTTATAGTAAATGTTCTATAAACATTTTGCAACTATAAATGTTCTCATATTTAAAAGATAAAAATCTTCCAGTGAACCACTTTATCCCAAAGGGATAAATTGAAATGGGCCCTGTGTATCTAGAGAGGATAATGCAATGACTCATGTTAAAAAATATGCATCAAGCTTTGTGGCCCAGTTTTTATTGTGACTTTATCTAAAGAAGTATATGAAAATATGTTCTATTCCATAGGAAGTTAGAGAAAATTCAGGAGTTTATTTAAAATTAGAAATTAATGATTTATGAGGTTTAAATTACTCTTGTTGATTTTGAGCAGATTGACTCTCAAATTATTTATACAACTAAAATTCAAGTGGGAAAACTATCATTTCAAAATTAAATATTCAGTGGTATATAAAAGAAAAATTATCACTTATTTTTTCAGTTTTTAGGGAAGCTAATGGAAATAATTTTTGAATGACATATGAAATAATTTTGTCTTGGGTGTCTCACTGTTTCTTATTTGTTGTGTGTTTTTGGGCAAATTGTAGAATTATATAATATTTCTCTTGTCCCTATCTTTCCTTTTTTTTTGTAAATGTAAAGTGGTAAAAATGTAATGTAAATCTAAATTTAATTGCATCAGTGTTCTGTAATTTTCTCCCCAAGTGCCCCTTTTTATTATTTGTGCTAAAAGAACCCAAATTTAAGGTTTAGTTCAATAGAATAAATAAACTGTATTTATTATGGTCAAATCAGAAGGAATTCCTTTCCTCATGAATAAAAATACTCTTAGGAAGAGTATAAAAGTTAACTAATTATACCATTCTGAATTATATTGCATCCATAAGCACAAAAATTTCAACTTCTTAACTTCCCATTCAGCATTGTTTCAGGTAAACACAGAATTTATTTTGGCTTTAACAGAATGCCCTCCATTTTCAACTTGATGGATCTTTAGAAATGCAAAAAGATTTATGAAGGTCCTTTCTGGTTCAGTAAATGTATACTTTGCATAGTGTGTACTTTGAAAAGTTGTAGACACCTTCACATAGCTATACAAATATGTGCATGTTACTAGTCTAGATGTATCCTCAAAGTGTGGGAAGACACTTATCTGAAAGATGAAATGACTTTATAAATAGAAATTTTTGATACTACAGTGTCAAAGCTTAACTTGGATCAAGATGGATAAATTCACTCTATGAATATCAAGAAATAATAGGTTTTGGCACATAAAACTCCAGAACTAGAAACTAGAATATTCAAGATAGGGAAAGACCTACCAACTACAGAAGAGAGCCAGGATTATTCTTTAGACACCATAAAGTCACAAAAGGAACACAAAAGCAGAAATATTTAATTGAAACAAAAATTTTAAAGCAAGTTAATAAAAATACTGTTTTTTCATTAAATGTTCAACATAATTACTTTCTACGTATGTATTTAATATTTTGGGGGCACTTCTTGAATATTTTAAAATCATGCATTTAATGAATGTTGGTTACCTTATAAATTCAAATTTCTCTATACTTGAATAATTCCCTGTGTTATTGAGGCTCATTTGAAAATGTGTTAGCTTGCCTGTAATTTGTTTTTTGCATGTACATATTTAATGTGTGTATGTGTGTATGTATATCAGGCATACTTATAAACATATGGATAGTTTACACAAATAAGGTATTTAAAGGATGATTAGGATTCACTGAGGAAGTAAAATGGTGGTGGTTACCAGAGGATTGGTTGGGGGGAATGTGACAGATGTTGTTTATGGGTACAAACTTGACTCAAGTAATAAATAAGCCATAGAGATCTGATGCACAGTATAATGAATATAGACAACCATGCAGTATTATAGTTATGTAATGTGATATCATAATTATGTAATATCGTAGAAGTACTAAATATCACTACAATGGCAGTCATAATACACTATAGAAATGTATCAAATCACACCTTAAATTTATACAGTTATATATCAAATATATTCAGTTTTAAAAGATTCATGATAAAAGTTTTAATTCATAATTTCATAGCATGATATATTTAACCTTTTAATATTTTTCTTTATTATATTTTATCCATCCAAAAGAAATTGAAGTGTTAAATATTTAGTGTCGGAGAGTTATATTGTCATTGTCCTTCCTTCTTAAGCTTTAAATAATTACATTGATGAGTTTTCCTTGAAAAAATTTCCATCTAACATTCCATTCATTATAAATGATTAATCATCCTTCTAAATTATTTTATATTTTTCTCATTAAAACTCAGCTATCCTTAATTGTCCTAATTTCTCTGGTTTAACTCATATTCATATACAACCCTCATTCCCAGAACCTAAGTTCCTTATATAATTTATATAACTTACAAATCACATTTTGGTATTCTTCTGTACAATGTATATTTAAACTCTTATTATTTGGTATCCTAATAGTAGACACCTCTGTTATCACTTATATTGATTTACCATCATGTTTTGTTTCTATTTCTTTCAGTAGTGATTTATCAGGTTTGTTCTAAATGCTAAAGGATCTTACTCTACTTTGTCAGTTTTGCATAACTTACCTTGAAATTAATGGGCATAATATTCTTTCATTCTGACTTCATGTTTGTCTCATCGTAGCTAGAATAGCATATCTTTTTTAAAAAAATTGTATTTATTTATTTGAGAGAGAGTGAGCAAGCAAGAGAGAAAGCACATGAGCAAGAGGAGGGACAGAGAAAGAAGCAGGGAACCCTACACAGGGCTTGATCCCAGGAGATCATGACCTGAGCTGAAGGCAGATGCCCAAGCAACTGAGCCACTCAGGTGCCCCTAGCATATAGATTGTTATTGCCATTTATCAATAATTGATAATAAAGTATCGTGAATTCGGTGAAATTTGATTTTGAGGGTGTAAAAATTCAAAATATCATAATCACAACCAGTTGGGTGCTATTCACTTTATATTAGACATTAGATATTTACATACATTCCAGAAATGTGCTCTTTGGTATAAATGGTTGAATAATTGTTTCAATTTGCCACTTCTTCATTATCTAAGGAATCTGTGTAATTCCAAAATATTTTAGGAGGGGATTTGTTATTCAAATTTGTTTGTAGATTCACAAATAACTGTTGATTGGATATTTTTCAGACTTATTTTGAAATAGTTCACCCATGGATCCATTAGATAAATAATGCTAAAGTTAACTTATTTCCCACTTAACCACAACTCTATGAGCTCAAATTCCAGTTCTTTATCTTAGGCAAAATTAACTAAATATATTTCAAAAAGTCTTGCCTGAGTAGATCTTTTTTCTAAGAGAGTATATTTAATTTTATATAATATGAGAAATAAAACATCCCAACATTATATAAATGCCATTCTAAATTTTATAATAGTATTTTCTCCTTTCCTGCAATCTCTTTCACTTTCCCAGCTCCAGGAAAAGTGGTGAATCTCACAGTTGAGGCCTTTAACTATTCTGCAGTAAACCTGATTTGGTATTTACCTTGGCAACCAAATGGCAAAATAACCAGCTTCAAGATTAGTGTCAAGCATGCCAGAAGTGGGATAGTAGTGGAAGATGTCTCCATCAGAGTAGAAGACATTTTGACTGGGAAATTGCCAGAATGTAATGTAAGTATTGTGGAACACTTTCTATGTCTCAAAAACTTTAGGTGAGCGAAGTTTCCAGTATATGGAAACTTTTTAAACCACAGTGGTTATTAGCCGTTTGATTACTTGTAGTGTTAGGTATAGTATCATGTTATACACAATTGGCTATATTCAAGGTAGAATAAGAGAAGGGTCTGAGAATTCAAGAGGTATAAAAATACTGCAGGGAGCTCTGAAGAGACTTCATGGAAGGAGTAACATTTGTTAATGGGTCTTGGATTGGCCATGGTGTAAGGACAGGGAGAGCATGTGAGGGAAGTATTTTGGGTGGAGGATATTTTATAAAGGCTTGAAATAGGAAAGTATAGGATATCACTGGAAAAAAAAAGGTAATATTTCCATGTGACAAGAGAGGAAGGGAAGGCAACAAAGTGATGTTGTGGAAGTAGATTGTTTTTGCTGTGCATGTCTTTGATGAAGAATTTATGACTCTAGTCATTTATGGGAAATCCCTGGAAGTACCATAATAATGCTTTTCCAAAAATAATTTGGATGATTTTTGTGATATTACTGGAGAAACAAAGAAAATTACTTTTGTTTTAAATAATTTATAGAAGTATTAAAACCTTTTTAAAGTTAGGATGTATTTCTAATGTGCACATAAACATACATACATGCACGTATACACATATGCAACATATGTGCTATTGGCTTTATCATTTGAGTATTTATGAGAAAAAAAAAGATAGTACCAGTGAGAAAGTGACCTATGCTTGAAATTTCACAAAAGGGAATATAGTTTACCTCTTTGGTTCTTGTACTTTTTAACATGAATTTTAAAAATTCTTATTAATGATTTTGCGGTAGCTTTACCTTTATTCTAAGCCTTTTGAAATCCTACTCATAAGAAATATTAAGGTATAAAGACTGCAATAAATATATTCTATTCTAAAACTGTAGACATAAATGGGTATCATTAAACTCTAGCAAATTTGTCTGTAAATTGAATAGATAATAATCTATTAAATCTTAATGAATCATACACATATACATAAATTTAAGAATGATATTTATGCTATAAAGGAAAAATAAATGAATTACACTTCTCATGTTCATCAAGAGATACCATATTATTTTTCAATGGTTATTTTGTTCACTAGGAGAATAATGAATCTTTTTTATGGAGTACAACCAGCCCTTCTCCAACCCTTGGTAGAGTTACACCTCCATCACGTACCACATATTCAAGCACGTTGGCAAGGAGTGAGATAAGCTCTGTGTGGAAAGAGCCTATAAGTTTCGTAGTGACACGTTTGAGACCTTATACAACGTATCTTTTTGAAGTTTCTGCTGTTACAACTGAAGCAGGTTATATTGATAGTACCATTGTCAGGACACCAGAATCAGGTATGGTGTTTCATTTTTTGTGGATGTAGAAAAAATAATTAAATTACTTATAAAATAATCTTTCATTGTTTTCATATAGATCTTTTTGTTAAAACCTTCCTTTCCTTTCAATAACTTTCTACCCCAGTAACAGATCATGGACATACCATCTGGAGCATCTTTAATTTCAATATTATTTTACAGTACGAACATAAGCATCTAAAAAGAGAAAGGAGATTTGAAAGAATCCATCCTTGAGCTAATAACCATGATCCTATGATCAGCTTTTATTGTTCTTTGATCTAAGCAATTGTTCATAATCATCTCTGCCCTTCTTCATCTCCTATAATCATCTGTATCCTCCTCTCACTTATACTGTTATAACCAAATGTGGAGGTAACACCTATAGTGAGAGAAATATCATGTGATTCACATTTCAGTAACAGACAAAAATAGTACTTAAAAAATAAACTACATATTGCACTAGAGTTTCCCTATGTGAAAAATGGAGACAGCAATAGTACCTCCTTTATGATGGTGTTGGGTTTAATGGGAGTAATTAGATGTTATTACTACTAAGTTTGAAGAGTACACATTTCTAGTTATGAGTGTTTATATATTTAATTATGAGAATATATATACATATATATGTAAATTTATGTGGTTACTAACCTGATACTATACTAAATATGTGGTATCAGATATTCAGTTGTGATTGATAATTTTTTGAGGTTACTAGAAATTATTGCTGGTAGGATAATTTCCCTAAAGCACATTATTTTTTTTTCCCTGATGACAGCTGTCAGCTTCTTCGTTTCATCATATAAAGTTTGAAGTTTTTTCTTGATTTAAATCATCTTTAAATCATACCATTTCCTCCTTCTATAATAATTTCATAAGGATAACACAAAGTGAAATTTAGTAGATGAGAACTTCGGCTTGAGAAAGATATTTGGAATAGTTCACTTCAATCAAAAGAAAATAAAATGTAGGAACATATCTGTGAAAAGTAGACTATTTAAAAATGTCATTACGTTTTATATGTTACCAATGTTACATCAGAATCTTCTAACTGTAGGTTATAAATTTCCTCTGGGAACCAAATACAAATATTGATAAAGAAAGTGAGGATCCTTGCCAATAAGGTGATGTAGGTGGAGTTAATTCCCTGACCCTCTACCAGTGTCCACCAGAGGGAGAGCATTTTTCAAGGCAGATGCCCAGGCCTGGTTGAATTAAATATATAAGTATCCATCAGGACAACGTAACTGTGCAAGAAACAATATTGGAATGAGAATGAAATACCTTACGCAGTCATATACAGCATCAAATTAAACTAGTAACTGTTGTAAATGAGTAGTTTATCTGATGATCCAGCATGTCTTATTTAAATTCTTCAATTCATTCATTTTTCCTTTCCTAAGTTAAAAAAACATTTGCTCATGATGTGACATTTTATTTTCCTTCTGACTTTGTGTTTTATTGTATATATGCAATAATATGTTCATTTATTTTAAGTGTATATTATTTATTCATTTTTTTTCTATAACCATTTTAGTGCCTGAAGGACCACCACAAAATTGTGTAACAGGCAACATTACAGGGAAGTCCTTTTCAATTTCATGGGACCCACCAAATGTGGTAACAGGGAAATTTAGTTATAGAGTTGAATTATATGGACCATCAGGTAAGTCTCAATCAGTTTTGTGCTTATCTTTTGGAGTAGGAATTATGCAAAATATGTTAATATTATCAAACTCCTTAAAAGTATCATGATCTTTTTTATAAGATCCTAAATTGAAGCAAATAATAGAAAAGCAATAAGGGAGGTGGAGACTCTTTGAACTTTCTGCGTAAAATCATAAATACGAATACAGATGGCAAAACATTGTCCAAGTTCCCTATTTTATGAGGAGAAGCTGAGAGAATGAAATAACTCCTAAGAAGAGAGGTGTTAGAGGACATACATGTCTTCAAATGCTTGAACAAAAGGACTTGATTTACTCTAACTGCAAATATATTTATGAAGAACAATGGACTTCAGTTATATTTGATCATATATCTGCTTAGAACAAGGAATACATTCTAATAATTGGAACTCTCTAAAAATAATATAGGCAACTTCATAATGTAGCAAGTTCTCCATCTTTGTGAACAAGCAGGACCTAGACATCCACTTGTCAGATATTTTGAGGGGTTCAAATAATGTATTTCTGGAAGTCAATTAAGTAAACTTTAAAATTCTTTCCTAATCTGAGATCTGAGATCTATTGTTCTATGAAAGAAATAAAACAGAAGAGTAGAGACTGTTTGGGCCACAGAAGTTGAGTAGGGGGCTAGGCAAAATTTAGGGCTCATTTGAGGTGTGGTAGTGTATAAAGTGATATCAGTTAGAGTGGATTTGTGATTTTCTCCAGCTCCCTTCAACAAGAGAAGGGCAATGGAATTGAAGGCTCCTGTGAAAGTTGTGATTATAATTGACAGTGCCATTGAGGCTAGATAAAGAATGGAAACCAAGTGGTGAGGGACCAAACTAAACAGAATAAAATAAAATAGATAATAAGATCAATGAATTGGAGGTCCCAGTGAACTTAATGAATTGTTGCTTCAGGGTCCTAGAATAAGTGAATAGGAGTTAAGAAGGAATGGTCAGAGACAGTGGCATAAATTGAGATCATGAAAGATTCACAGTTCCTGGTAATAGCAATGTCTATGGGAGTGGCTGAGATAGGGTGATGGGTTAGATTATTTGAAGAGAGCTGGGATTGTTTTAAGGATTATCTCTAAAGATACTGAAATCACCACAAATTAAGATGGTAGCACTGAGAGCAGTGACATTGAAACAGGCACTAAACCTCCCAGAATGAGGGTGAGTAACCCTGGGCCTAGAAGATCCATCACTGCACAAGAAGGGCTGGTGGAGGCCATCCATGACATGAAATCAAAAATTGTGAACTTTTGTAAAGAGGAAGGTGTGGGACAAAGGACCTAAGACTAGGCCCTGAGGTGCTGGGAAAACACATACCAGACCAGAAGGCCTAGTCACTTGATGATTGTGGGAAAAATTAGACCATTTGGAGTGGTTGCAGGGAACAGAAGCTGTGTTTTTAGGTGAGAGCCAGGTTTCAGCTACAGGGAGAGATGAAATAATTTTTCAGAGGCAAAGTCGAGGATTAAAAGAATTTCTTTTTTTTAATTTTTTTTTTAATTTTTATTTATTTATGATAGTCAGAGAGAGAGAGAGGCAGAGACATAGGCAGAGGGAGAAGCAGGCTCCATGCACCGGGAGCCTGACGTGGGACTTGATCCCGGGTCTCCAGGATCGCACCCTGGGCCAAAGGCAGGCGCTAAACCACTGCACCACCCAGGGATCCCCTAAAAGAATTTCAATAATGGACTTTTAAGGAGTTTTGCTCAGAAGCTGAACTACAAATATTTTCTAAATATGTTTTTTTATAGAAAATAATGAGAATGTTTAGCATTTTAATTGACTGGATTTATGTATAAAATACTGTCACTATTTTAATATTAGCAAAATATAAGGTTTTCCTTTTAAAAATGTTTAAAAAATAATGTGGTAATTGGATAGGGCCTTATGATTTAATAAGTTATTTGGAATATTAAACGATTTTCATGTTCTTTCCATTGTTTTGATTAGCCTGATATCAATGTACCACTAAGCTAAATGTTTGAACCTTGTAATACTTGTAATTGAATATCTTAGAATTGTAATAACAAACATTAATTGCTGTTCTTGACTCTCTACTTAAATGTGAGAATGATCACATGCTTGATGAGAAAATAATTCAAAATTGAAAAGCAAAATATCTTTTGCTTTTTGCAGGTCAGATTTTGGATAATAGCACAAAAGACCTCAAGTTTGCATTCACTAACCTAACACCATTTACAGTATATGATGTATATGTTGCCGCTGAGACCAGTGCAGGAATTGGACCCAAATCAAATATTTCAGTATTCACTCCTCCAGAAGGTAAGAACATCTTCAGTGTGTTCATAAGATAGTTTACTCTGCTTGTGGATTTTATTGCATTGGTTAAACATTATATGAGAAGCTATTTGGTTTATATTTACTTAATTCATGCTACTTCCTTATCAGATTACTACCTAGTGCATTCTGAACATGTGTTCCTAGAACATTAAACCCACAGTATGCTTCATAGAGGCATGGGATATCAAGCAAGATTAGGAAGCCCTACATGTAGTATCGGTCTGTTGGAGACTCACACTGAAGATCGGCAAAACCTCAAGAGGCCAAAGTAAACAAACACATTTAACATTGCTTGATTCACATTATTCAATATAGAATAGATTTTTCTCACAGAATAATATCTAGGGGAATCCATATATCCCCAATGCTTATAACAAAAGATGTTTATAAACAAAAGGGTATTTCAAGCAAGGGAGGATTCCTAGAGGGTGCATAATATAAATTTAGCAGCCCATCTTGAAATAACAAAAACAATAGCTCTCCTAAACAAAATTTTTATTTGCATGTATTAAACATCACAGTTTTAGATGTTTAAAAAATGTTAGCACTTTGTCTCATAACGTAGTTTCCAGATTTTGTGTGATAGTTAACATACCGTAACTTGTAAATTAAATATACGTGTGTGCAAGTGCACACGATGCTCCTACAACTAAAGACTGGGGCGTATGTTCATCAGATAAATCACTCAAGTATTTGACCATTAGGGGGCAGCAACTATTAGGGAATTTTGTACTTCTCCCCTTCAAAGAACCATTGGTAGTATTTTGCTGTTGAAAGAACATAAAAATTATGTTTTATATCAATTTCAAATGAAAATGCTGATGCATATTTGATTTCAATATACAGATTAAGAAAAAGATGTATACTTACAAGCAAACTGGTCTCATATTAACATTTTTCTATTGTGTTTCTGTCAGAAGAGTCTTAGCTTTGTATGTTTTTCCATTACACCTTAAATCTCCCCTTCACCTAATCATTGCTCTTAAGCATTTCTTGGAAAGTTAGACAGCTTTATGAATGATTCTCAAAAACAGCAGAGTGACCTGGCCCTCATCAGACTAGAGTCCTTGAGTTTGGTTTTAATAGCATTTTCTCAAACAACTTAATTGATCAACTGATTTTTATTCTTATGTTATACGATTAAATACAGAATCTTTTGTCTTCCTTCAAATCAGGCCAGTTTTGGTGCCCCTAAGCTGAATCTGCAATTTAGGATTATTGTTTTATTGTTATTATTCTTGGCTTATAGCATTTGACAAAAATAAGGAAATAGGTAATATATTGCCACATATGATGTCATGCTGTTTATTTTAGACATCATTTAAACAGTTCATCTCCTTTTCTTTATTTTTGCATTTTTATGCACAAAATAATAAATAAAAATATAAGGACATTGTTCAATATATTTCACAGGGCTTATTTTTCACACAAAATTATTTTGAACAAATGACTGTCTTTGCGTTATATAATAAACAATTTATCCTACTATCTTACTATCCTCCTGACCATATCCAGGTGGCTCTCAGGTGGGTTCCACTAAGGGCAGAAATGGCATGGCTCTTACCTCTGCATGCCAACCTTTCACCATGGAGTTATCTTGGGATAGTTCAGACTTAGGAAGGGCTTCAGTGAAATGCTCTAGCAAATGCAGTAAATGTAGCTTTCAACTTCTGACAACACTAATTCGTCCTGGTCCTGCTAATTAAAACTTTGTAATGAAGGAATCTTTAAACTATATGAGAGCAATCTAATAACTCACTAGAACTATATACTTTCAGTTAAAATTGAGATCCTCATTTTAAACTCTTCTTTTTCATTTATTAATACAACAGTGCTCTTTGTGTTCTAATGAAATCTACTCAATTTATTTTCTTCTCCATATAAAAGTCTTTTTAAAAATTCATTAGGACCAATTTTTAAATTAATGTCTTTTAAAACAACTAGTATTCTAACAAATCTCCAGATCTTCATAGAAGAATGTTGAATTGACCTCTTAGAGATAATGATATATGCTATTATAGTAATATGGGGCTGATTTCATTAACACTGAGAATGTTATGTCCATAGTCTACTTTGATCATCAAAGAAAATCAACATCATGTTGTTATAGCAGTACTCCTCTACATTTCATAGATTCCTACATATTCATTGACATGTTACTGAACAGTATTCTACATAGGCATGAAGAAGAGATGGTTTTGGTAAACAATAATACTTTAATAATCTCCAATGTTACAAAGTGTCATGGAGTAGCATTTCCCAAAATGAGACAATGCTATTGAATATAACATAGGTACCAGCATTTTCTTATTATTTGCATGGCGGTTAAACAAATCTTAGGTAAAACTTTATTGCTTCAATATCCCCTAATAACTTTTCTGTCACTAGTATCAAAGATCTCATAAGAAAGTTTAACATCAGGGCAGCCCCAGTGGCTCAGCGGTTTATCGCCATCTTCAGCCCAGAGCGTAATACTGGAGACCCAGGATGGAGTCCCATGACAGGCTCCCTGCAGAGAGCCTGCTTCTCCCTCTGCCTGTGTCTCTGCCTCTCTCTCTCCTCTCTCTCTCCCTCTCTCTCTCTCTCTCTGTCTCTCATGATTAAATAAATAAAATCTTAAAAAAAAAGAAAGTTAACATCATTTCTTAAAAGCAGAGAATTGAAATCCTTATATATTCTTAAATAAATAGACCATGAAAATGAAGACTTTTGTCCTTCAACTTGCTACTTTCTGCAAATAGTAAATCTTTTGTAGAAAAATCACTGATTTACCTTTTCAAGGTTCTCAATGAGTTTTATTTGTCAATAGATTTTTTCAAAATTAATTAAAATTTAATAAACTTAATTTGCAAGATAATGGCAAAATTTATTTTATTTTTAAAGAGTTATTGATTTGAGAGAGAGAGAACCACAGGAGGGGCAAAGGGAGAGGGAGAGAACCTTAAGCAGATTCCCCACTGAGCATGGAAACCTACACAGGGCTCAGTCCTCCTCCCCTGAGATCATGGCCCTGAGATCATGACCTGAGCTGAAACCAAGAGTCAGATGCTCAACCACCTGAGCCACCCAGGCACTCTACATAATGGCAAAATTTAATGTATTTTCTTTGCCCCAGTACCATTTGTTTCCTTTTTAATCCTTTTTCATTTGAAAGCTTAAAATCATTTCAAATATTATTTATCCTTCATATGCCTATTCTGTTTGTCTTTCATTAATAAAATTTATGGATGTATTGACTTGAGAATGGTTCTTAAGTAATCCTTGTGGACAACACCTCAGAATTGATGCTGAACCATGAATAATTGCCTTGTGTATTTGATTTTCTTTAGTTAATTTGGTATTAATATTAAAGGAGTTTGATTTAATCCATACTTCTCTGGTTTCCTCATAAGAATTTGTGGTGTAATAGATCAAGTATCTTTCTAAGGACAAGGACAAGGACAAATGGAGTCATTTCCTGTATCCCCTAAGTTTTTTTCTTCTTTCATTGAAAAAGGAGAGAGAGAGATAGCTTTACAGTTGTTCTTATTCAGGTTTGCGGTACATTTTTAGGGTAATATAGAACCACTTAATCTTTACTTGAACTGTAATTTAGAATTAGTGTCATGGAGCAATATTTATTAAGTTATATTGAAAATATCTTACATATTAGAAGATAAAGAGACTGCTACTGTTCTTTTTGATTAAATAAGGGACAGTAAATATATATATGTATATATATACATATATGTATATTTACATACACACATACTTTTTTCTTTTTGCTGTATTGGGTAGTTTTGGTTTTCTACTACATTAATGTGTTAAATCAGATGTAAATGACACTTATTTTTTGATATGCAGGGTTTCCTTATCTCTTAATCTTATCAGGGTAGTCTTTAGATTTGTTTCTTTAATTGAGGTTCTACACAAGTTCAAATTAAATGGAAAAATGCCAGATCTCTTCTATGAATTATGTTATACGATACTGGCCAATGCTTTGTCTACATAGCAATTCTAAAATAAAAGGTGGAATGGAAGCTTTACTCTCTAAATGGCTGTTATTTTCATAGTACACAGTTAATTAGAAAGTAGCTCTGCCTTTGAAAAAATGTGTGTTGGTAAATATGATGTTAGAAACATAAGGACAATATATATCATATATATATATATATATATATATATATATATATATATATGAAGTGGCCTGTGCAAAAGGTTTTATCTATCTCATTTCTCCCTCTATCCTCAAGTGCCTAGAATAATGACCAAGAATGAGGGCTTAGTCTGTTGAATGATGAAGGAGTGAATCAGTGATTTTGGGGTCCTAGAACTCTTCCTCCATCCTTCAAAGCTCAAATGTTTTCCCTTCAGATTAGAACTTCTGTGGGGACAGATCAATCTAAAGAGTTATCCTTCTATATATAGAATTTTGAAATGTTTTTAGAAAAGGAAATTTAAAGAATTAGCAAATTACAGGTTTAATTTCATGTTTATAACTCAGTTTTGAGCACAGGTGTTACTACATGCTGTACAGGAAAATCTTGGCTGCAGTAATAAAAATCTTAGGCAAGAATGACTCATTCATTCATCTAGTCATTAACTATTTAAAAACATTCAGAAATATTTGTATTGTTACAGTATCTAGAGGGCTTTCTAAATGGTTACTTCATAGAGACAAAAAAAATCTATGGAATGAAAACTCCATACAGTTTCCTGTATGGTTGAGGTTGACATAATCATGTTCACTAATTTTAAATTATATATATATGTAATATATATATATATAAATTACATATATGTAATTATATATATATATCTTTACATTTGTTTTTGTTTAAGTTCAATATGCCAACATATAGTATAACACCCAGTGCTCATCCCCTCAAGTGCCCCCCTCAGTGCCCGTCACCCAGTCACCCCATCCCCCTGCCCACCTCCCTTTCCACTACCTGTTGTTCATTTCCCAGAGTTACGGAGTCTCAATTTTTCCAAGTTCCCCTCCTTTTCCTTATAATCCTTTTCACTATTTCTTATATTCCATGTATGAGTGAAACCATATGAAGATTGTCCTTCTCCGATTGCTTACTTCACTCAGCATAATACCCTCCAGTTTCATCCACGTCGAAGCAAATGGTGGGTATTCCTCGTTTTTAATGGCTGAGTAATATTCCCTTGTATACATAGACTACAGCTTCTTTATCCATTCATCTTACATGGACACCAAGGCTCCTTTCACCGTTTGGCTATTGTGGACATTGCTGCCATAAACATCAGGGTGCAGGTGTCCCGGCATTTCATTGCATCTGTATCTTTGGGGTAAATCCCCAGCAGTGCAATTGCTGGGTCGTAGGGCAGATCTATTTTTAACTCTTTGAGCAACCTCCACACAGTTTTCCAGAGTGGCTGCACCAGTTCACATTCCCACCAACAGTGCAAGAGGGTTCCCCTTTCTCCACATCCTCTCCAACCTTTGTTGTTTCCTGCCTTGTTAATTGTCACCATTCTCACTGGTGTGAGGTGGTATCTCATTGTGGTTTTGATTTGTATTTCCCTGATGGCCAGTGATGCGGAGCATTTTCTCATGTGCTTGTTGGCCATGTCTATGTCTTCTTTGGTGAAATTTCTGTTCATGTCTTCTGCTCATTTCATGATTGGATTTTTTGTTTCTTGGGTGTTGAGTTTGATAAGTTCTCTAGAGATAATTTTAAATGTTATTTGTAAGAGTTGTGACATTAATTTTTAATTCCTTTCTGTTATCTTAAAAGTAAAAAAGGGTCATTCTTTATGTTATACCCATAAAGTGCCTCTGTTCTAAATGGTATTTGCTAAAACTATACAAATGCGAAATAGCTTAGGGAAATGAATTTGATGTTTTACCACATCTTGGTAATAATGATGTAGTTTTGGAATATAGATGAGGTTTGGCTGAGGTCTGGAGCTGACTACCAAGAAAGAATTCTTGATGTCTTTGGTGCAAGTTGGTGGTTTTATTAAAGCATGGGACAGGACCCGCAGGCAGGAAGAGCTGCCTGTGAGCTGCCTGTGAGGCTGATTATTTGCTTAGGAGTTGGGGCAGGTAAGGAAAAGGGAGGCCTTCAAAGGAATTTTTGTATGCTAAAGAGGACCTACCAGATATTGGAGGCCTTGCCATTGTCAAGTTAAGTTTGTTTTTCCCTTTAGTAAAGCATTAACGTTAAGGTAGTTGGGAGTTTCCTTCCAGAAGTTAGGTTATTGATAAGAATGCTTTTCTTGTAAATCACTAAGACATTTTGTAAACTGAGGGAGACTTATGTCTATAGGGCTATAATCTCTATAAGTTAACTATTAGTTTTTCTTTCCCTTGGCTTTAGGGCAGCCAGGAGTGCCTGAGAATGTCACACATATCCCACCTGGGTGGCAAGGGGCGTTGTTTGTGGGGTGTCAGCTTGTGCTTTGTCCTCAGCTAGCCTTCTGTTCCCTCATCAATGAGGAGTTCTATCATTTTCTTTCTTGAACATTTCATTCAAGGTCCCTTACCATAACCTTGCCTAGTAATAAGAACGATATAATTATACCCATTTTATAGGTTAATAAACTTAGAGGAGGGTTTAATTGGCTATTCAGAATCACACTAGCTATAAAAAAAAAAAAAAGTAGACAAAATCCCAGGGCATGTTTATCCTTGATCTGTTATTACGCCTGTGCTACTGGGAGGTTTACTGGATGTCACTCTTGGTCACTTTCTAACTAGAATTTGTGTAAGTACTTGGTGCTTTATTGTAAACCAGATGTTAGTTTTGTTTCTGTTTCTCTTTATTACTGAAAAGAGTAAGGGTACCTGAAATTAGAGACTCACATAATTCATTTGTAAATTCAGCAGACCAAAATCAATCAACTCTTCAAACAATCTCATGTAACAAGTTCAAAGACAATCTAATTGAATTTACCAACTACATTTAATTTCAGACAAAGTCTTCTGGATATTATTTTTTGTTCTGTTCTTATGATTTTATGAAGCTTTCAAGGTTTCTACTGGGCATTAATCATCCCTAGACAGCTTTTTCTGGGAAGTTATTTTTATTAATGAATTTGTTTCTTTTTTTTAAAATGAATTTGTTTCAAACAAATACTATGACATTTTGAGGAAATTACTCCATGTTATCCTATTTCTTATTTACATTTTTTTGAGAACAGTATGTAGAAATTCACTTTATCTGTGTCTTTAAAGAATCTTACACATATTTAATTGTAAATAAATAGTAAATTGTTTTAGTCTATTTTCTAATAGGCTTTCTTACAAATCTTAAATGGTGAGCTAATAATTTAGGGAATTTTTACATTTTAAAATATACTTTTAAATTCTTCCCTCCTTATTCTTTTTTTTTTTTTTTTTTTTTTTTTTTTAGTTCCAGGTCCAATATTTGATTTACAACTTGCAGAAGTAGAAGCCACACAAATAAGAATTACTTGGAAGAAACCACGACAACCAAATGGAATCATTAACCAATACCGAGTCAAAGTGCTAGTTTCAGAGACAGGAGTAATTCTGGAAAATACTTTGCTCACAGGAAAAGATGAGGTATTCACTTTCATTTCACATCTTGGTGAGCCCCTTCTACTTGGTTTTGGCCCCGATAACTTGGAAGACTTTCGTCATTCAAACATAAAATATTTGACAAGCATCATGGTACAAAGTGAAGTAAATTTGGGCTATGTGGATAATCTAGCTAGGTCATATTTCATTTTAGAACATATATTATTAAGTGCTATTATTCTTTTTCAGCATAGAAAAATGTTAATTGAGCAATTAAGTAGGACTAAAGGTGCTTCCATAAGTGGATATTATTATGGTAATTCAGTTAATGAATTGTTTAGAAACTCCTGTTATGATTTAAACACTCCTTCTAGGCTTACTTGCAATTTGGAACAGTTGCCAACGAAAAGCGCAGTATTTAGTGGTTGTTGTTGACAAATGACTTGGCCTGTTCAGTGTTTGGGAGCTAATTTTCTCAAAGCTACCTCATTTAAAAAAAGATCCAAACAAAGTATGTTTGATAAAGAAAGCAAATGGGGCACCGGGTGGCTCAATTGGTTAAGCATCAGACTCTTGGTTTTGGCTCAGGTTATCATCTCAAAGCTGTGAGGTCAAGCCCCGTGTCCCACTCCCTGCAATGAGAGTCTGCTTGAGGTTCTCTCTCTCCTTCTCCCGCTGCCCCTCCACATGCTCACACACACTCTCTCTCTCAAATAAATAATCTTTTTTTAAAGCAATTGACTGAATAATGGAGATTAAGTTATTCATAGATATAAAATAAGAGGACAATGTGTTTGCCTCTATTCACAATGAAAGTCTTATTGTTTTCCCCTTTGCATCTGTTAGAAATACAAGCCACACTGGTTTCCTTTCCCTGTCTTCACTCACCTTACCCAGCCAGCTATTCATCTGTGAGTGCCCTATGAGTGTCCAGACTAGTCACATTCAAGTATGGGTACAAAAATTAATGTCCCTAGGACCAGTGAATTCAATCGCAGGCCTCACAGGAGCTACATGATGGCTTATTCATCAGCTGGCTTCTACTGTTTGGGTCCAGAAACACTGCTTTTTCTAGCTGTGCTATTATTTTTCCCCATACAGATCATCCACTCTATTTCTAGTCTCTGCTTTCTTCCACTTCTTATACCTACTTGAAAATTGATGTTACTATGTGCTCAATGTACTGGCTGCCCAGGATTTACTGGGCAGGATTTTTACCATCTCCAGCGTAGGATTAAAATTCAATCCTATGTTTACTCCTTTCCTGTGTGTAAAAGATGGGAGTTATGCTTTCCCTGATATTCTAGTTGACAACTCAGGCAAAGGGCAAAAGCTTAAACCTTTGCTCCGGCCAAGATGGTCTTAGATTAGATAGTTAGCTGCTTTGGGACTAGGTGAGAGATCTCCCACTTCTGTTAATGACATCTGTTGAATCACCAGCCACACCACCCGTTTTTCTCTTGAAGCTAAGACATTCTAGAAAGACTTCTTTGTGATTCAGCCTCTGTCTCTATGGCTTGTAATTCCTGTGATATACTGAAGAAAACAGGAGCTTTGGGGCCATATAAATCTGGGTTTATATCTTTGGTCAGTTAATGGGCTCTGCTATAGAGAGATTGAGAGCATGGACCTAGGAGGCAGACTGCTTGGATTTAAACCTTGGTCTTGCCAGTATGGCTAGTTTAACCTTAAGAAAGTTGGCCTGATTTCTGTGATTTTCAGTTGCCTATTCTCAAAGATAGAGTTTATCAGAGATCCTGTAACAAAGGGTATTAATGAGGATTTAATGGGTTAAGTGCACAAAAGAGCTTAGAACTCTATGTGGTATGTGGTAAGTGCTATGCTAAATATTGTGACCTGTTGTGATTGTTAATCATGGGATTGGAACTTTCACCCTGATTGACATTCATTATTAGTTTCCTTATCCTCTCTCAATAAAAGGACATATTAGTTCTCCTTATTTCTATGATGGTATCTTTACTTATTAGAGCAGGCCCACTATTGGTATTTCGGCTTTCCCATGTGACTGATGTTTGGGTTCATCGTTTAGGAAGTTGATGTGGGGACAGAGATTTGGGAGAGGCCCTAAACCCAAATGAACTTGGGTTCTTTTCCAGCTTATACAACCTTGGACAAGACAACTTTTGGACACTTGGTCCAAAAGCAGGGCTTATAAACTCACCTTATAGGGTGAGCAGTAGAGGAGATAATAGATAAAACCTCTGGTTTAGTGTATTCATTTATTATTCTTCATCTTGACCTTGATTTTTCAGTATCCCCATCTTCATTGTCTCCTCCAGAATCCATCTTTCTGCCCTCCCACTCTCCAGCTTTTGGCTATTTTTTTCCCTCGTGCTTCCTCCACTTTCTTATCCTGTGACTTTATAAAACTTTGGTCTTGTGTAATGAAAAATATGAAAAAGCTTGTTCTCCTATAATTTTCTAACTCCTTCCTGATAAAGATCTTCTGCACAGTTCTGTTTTGAGCCTTCTCCTTACACTTTCTTTTGATGATCACGCAACTTCAATCACAGCTTCCTACTTGCGTAATCCCTTTGCCTTGCTTTCTATTCTGGTCTTTCTCTGACACTCTATTCCTAATAACAACCATTTGTAGAGACGTTCTATCAGGATATATCACATCTAAACTCATTTTCCCTCATAAAACAAAAATCCCTTTTGGGATAATGTCTGGTTCATGACCAGAATGAGGTGACAAATCTGGTTCATGACCAGAAGAAGACCAGGTACTAGACAAAGTTCTGGGGATGGTGATGGAAATCTGTGAAGGTTTCCACAGGACACACAAGAAGAAAGTCTATCCAGGCAACTAATAGTTTCAGTTATCAAGAACAAGGAGAGAGACTAATTTGAAGCCTAAATGCCAAATAACTAGGTTTAGAATTCCTTAATCCTTGGACTAGGCACACCATAGCTCTCTGACCTGAATTGAAGATCATTGTCTAAGTACTTTATGGTGCTTTTACATGTTTGGTATTCGTCCTTTCAGATTATGGCTCTGTTATTCTTTCTGTCATAATGGCTCAAAACCATGGGGCTACCTCTGACGTGGACTATACTTAGCATTCAATAGTTATTCAATATTAAGCTATTTATTTTTACCTCCAGAGGGTGGCCTTCATACATCTATATTTCATTCCATCATCACCACCCCACCTCAGGATTGCAGTCTCTTGCCTGGACTATTGCTATCTTACTGCATTAGTTTTTCATTGTCAGATGAGAGTTTGCCACAAACTTAATTGTTGTGTAACAACTCACCATAAGCTTAAGACAACTCATATTTATTTATTATCTCACAGTTTCTGTGGGTCAGGGAAAGTTTTCTGTCACTTGCTTCATCATGCCAGCAGAGGGAATATATACAGTATAATGTAGCCATAGGAATGACCTCCTCTCACCTTCGCCTCATTTCATTGTTTAGATGCAAATAATAGTTCCCACACATCAGGAAGGGATTATACAAATGAATGAACAGCAGGAGGTAGGAATAATAGGGGGGACATCTGAGAGACTGTCCACAACACTCTCTCAGCCCACTATTTTATATTTCACATATCTATTAGAATTATCTTTCCGGATTTAAGTATATTATTTAAATTAGAATAACCAAATAAGAATTGAGGACAGGGAAGGTATGATCTATTTAAGAACTCTAACTTCTCAGTATCCTAGCAGAAAGTCAATAGATCTGTCTAAAATAATTGAGTCTTAACAGAGTAGTATAGGCATGTTACTTAGTGATTTTAGAGGTAAAATCATGTGTGTATCATGGTGTTATATCATGTGTATATCATGATTGATACATGAAAGTATTAAAATATAATCATCTTATGCTAGACTTGAACTGATCTCATCACCCTTATTTAAAATTTTTTTTCCAGTGACCTTTTATGGTCTGTTTATTTCTTAATAAATAGGGGCTATTTCATTATGCTGAAACATGTATAAAATTTTACTTGCAATATTTAAATAAATACTTGAACGAATATATTAGAAAATTTAATTTCAGGGTTTGAAGACTTATTTCAACATTCAAATTTGTATATGAATTGCATGTAGAGGGATCCCTGGGTGGCACAGCGGTTTGGCGCCTGCCTTTGGCCCAGGGCGCCATCCTGGAGACCCAGGATCGAATCCCACGTCAGGCTCCTGGTGCATGGAGCCTGCTTCTCCCTCTGCCTATGTCTCTGCGCCTCTCTCTCTCTGTGTGTGTGTGTGACTATCATAAATAAATAAAAATTATAAAAAATTTTTTTGAATTGCATGTAGAGCATGCCTAATAAGTGATTGGGAATCCAGCCTCTGCTAAAATATTTTATCAACTCTAATAATAGGGTATCTACTACCACAAAAAGTAGCTCCTATTCTATGAACTTTAAAATATTCTTCCTTATGGCCTCCCAGGCATGTATGCATTAAGTAACACGAAAGTTCCAGGAACTCTGTTAGGTCCAGAAAATACACAGATGAATAAGAAAAATACTCTGTTCTTTAACTATTTTGAACTGAAACATTTGTCTTCTAATATTTGCCAGTTTGTCCCATCTCTCTTCTCTAGACCACATGATATGAGCTTGGAATTTGGAACCAGGGAAATGTGTTTCAATCCTACTTCTGCTATGACTAGTTTTATGAACTTGAACAGATGACTGTAAAATGGAGCTCTTGATACCTAACTTTGGGCTATAATGAATTAATATTGTATGGATAAAGTACTTAGCACTATATTTGGCACATAGTAGTTTTAAATGTCTTTGTAGCAGTAATAACAAAACACAGTGATTTAAGTTTTTATCTTTTGAAGATGATGGTCATGATTTCCCTAAGGCCTAATATCCTCAGTTTCTCATCGGCTGTGGTTTCTGGATCCCTCATATTATTGAGTACTCTCCTGTGTGTATTTTCCAGTTTGTCAATGAAACTCTTAATCATCTGAACACAATATTCCATATGTAATTTGATTAGATCCAAATTGAGAAAAACTATTTTCTACCTTGATGTTCATTTCCTACTTCTATCAATGCAAAGAATAAAATTAATTTATTTGTAAGACTTATTCCACTGAGAATAAAGTCTAAAATCCTAAAGTTATCTTTCCATGGACTGCTCTTAAGTTGAATTTTACACTCAGATCTCATCCTGTATTTGTTTTTTGGTAGAATCCTGGGGCATTTTCTCCCCCAAAGACACCATCTTGGTGCCTATTGTTACAAATACATGAGATTCATACAGATACATATTTTCATCCAGCATGTTTCACAAATATATCAGTATTTGTCATTGGTGAACATGAGAAGAAAGTCAGCTGAAGCCTTGACCAATTGCTATGGAATGAAGCTGACAGGACCCAAGAGTAGTTTAGGAATGCTTGAGATAAAGTTTACTTTATTGACCATCACCCAAATAACATGCAGAATGATACAATATCAACTAGGTTTCCAAACATATACTAATTGCAAACTTTTCTTTTTTACCACTGCTCAATAACAGAGAACATAAATCATGTTATAGTCTATAATAAAACATAGAAATATTTCTTAATAATAAATCAACTATTTCATTAAGTCAATCCAGTAGACTTCAGTGAGTCTGAATAAATAGATGTAATAGAGATTCGTAAAAAAATAAAATCACGTTAGCTATAATGAAGGTTATTACATGTAGAATCAGGTTGGTTTATACAGATGGATTAGGAATTTAACTGTAGAACTTCTAATTCTTTCACATAAATTCCAAAGATTCCTGGGTAGGATATGAGAGGCCTTTCAAGTTGGTGAACTGTGACATTCCGTAAGTCAGTTGTGCTCAACCAAGGAAGATGTTGCTCTCCACTTGGCAATCTCTGGAGACAGTTGTCTTGGTACAACTGGGGAGATGCTTCTAGTGGGTAGGAACCAGGGATGCTGCTAAACTTCCTACAACAAAACATTGTCTAACACAGAATGCCGGTGGTGCTGAGGTCCAGAGCCCTGTAGTAACTCAGTGAGACTGAAAGCTTTCAGGATTGCAGTTGGCTGCTTTTCTCTCTCATTTTTCTCATGTCCTCTTAGGCCCCTTCTACTTATTTTCTCAAGTTCTGTTCTTTCCCATCATTTTTGCTCTTAAAATAATTTTTTTTTGTCCTTTGAAAGACCTAATACCTAATGCCTTTTCAAAAGAAGCAAAGTGTAAGAAATATTCATGGCACGGCTGTCTGAGTGATAATGAATAACATTATGGGTTATTATGAAACCAGTGTTCAAATCATTGTATCAGTTAGAGAGAGTCTTTCCAGAATACCAGAATTTGGGAGAAATTCAGAAAGTCAAAATTATTTAGGTCAACTCTTATATTGAAATGGCAGTTTGTCAACAGAGATGCTTGACTTCGTTAATTGATGGGATGCTGTGACTTAACTCTCAATAATTTATCTGGCAGGAGTGTAAAATATTGGGAGATTTAATGCAAAATTGTAGTTCATGGGGAAATTATGCTACTTCATTTTACCTTCTGCAGTGCTTTGTACACAGTAGATTCTCAGAGTGGCTGATTGATAGTGGAAACAGCTGTGTGTTTCAAGCATAAACTATTGACTGGAATACCAGAGCATCTCTGAATTATGTGTTTGGGATTCATGCCCCCTCTGATTTCCCTGTGGAAGCAGAGCTGAAGTGAGCTGTTGGAAGATAGAAGACCTTTAACTTGTCCTGTATAGAGTTCCCTATCCAGAGTTTTTTATTGCAAGAATTTTAGAATAGATCTTATAGGTGTCCCCTTTCTTCTCATCACAATACTTTTCTGGCTATGGATATAACAAGATTTAGATAATTTTATTCTATAAATATCATTTGGAGAACTACAGATTTCCCTGGATCTTTTTTCGATTCTTTTCTCTCTCAGACAAGTTAATATTTCAGTGACCTATCTTTGTAGATGATTAAACAAACTGCCTTAAAATTACTTGCCTTCCTGAAACTTTTCCTGAGCACCTTTTACTTTTTTTAAATACTAAGTATTGGTGCTACTTAGGAATAAAAACCCTGTTTTTGGCTCTAGGATTAAAGATAACCCCAAAACCCAAGGTAAGAGTACCCAAACTTATACGCAAATAAAACCTTTATTATATATTATAAATTTTGAGGGTACAAGAGCATGGAGTTGGGGAGGAATAATATTTTCGTTTTTAAAAAAAGCATTTTTGTTTTTTTTTTAAAAGATGAGTTATGAAGCAGAAGTTGAAAAAGAATGGACAAAAAGCAAGTAGTTCTTGCTATGTCTTTTTTTTTTCTAAGATGATTTTATCTTGGGAAAGTTTGAACAGATATTAAAGTAGAGAAGAGAATATAATAACCCCCATTTGCCTCTCTCCTGGATTCAGTATTTAACATCTTATCATACTTGTGTCAGCTGTTTCCCATTGTTGCTCTTGCCCTGGACATATTTTAAAATAAATTCCAGACTTCATTTTGCTTCTACATGCCTAATTAAGAACGAATTTCTAAAACTTGCAGATATTTTAATTCATACAATGATTCTATTACCACAACTATCAGAATTGCTAATGTTGTCTTGGGTTCATCTAATATCTAGAACATATTCAGATTTTCCCGATTGTCTTCGAAGCCCGTGTTGGTAGGTATGTACTAATTAGAATCCAAAGTCCACACATTTCATTTGGTTGTTAAGTCTCTTAAGGCAACATTTACTTTGATTAATGTATAGTCTTATTTCCGAGGTTGAAAAACTACCAAAATACTAATAATATTTGGCCCCCAAACCCTTTCCTTAATCAGTTATGTTGTATGAGGAAGGAGAAGGAAGAGAGTTGTCTTGTTATCTCATTAGAAGCTCTTCCTGTATTTATCTGTAATATGCCCCTGATATTTTCACTTCAGTATCTGTTACTTCGGTGAACTTGACATGTGTGAAGTACATTATGGGATCTGGGAGCAATCACAGTTACTTAAAATATTCCTTAGGTCCAGACCCTTGGATAGGCTATTTGAAAGCTATTGCCATGCAGTTTGGTTCATGTGTGTAACTTCACTTGATCAAAGATAAACTGTTATTGACATATCAAGCAAGATGCAAGCCTCTCACACCTCATATGTAAATGAGAACACAGAGATAGAGAAGCAAACATATTTTAATAAGGCAGTGTGCCTAAACACTTACTTTTGGGAATGAATGGTTTTAAAATAGTTTGGTTATGGAACCTTTGTAGGAGGATGTCTAATTTTATAATAAGGCAACTAATTCAAATCAGAAACAAATATTCCCTTCATCCCACAATACGGTATTGACCTCTTATTTTTTTTTAATTTTTATTTATTTATGATAGTCAGAGAGAGAGAGAGAGAGAGGCAGAGACATAGGCAGAGGGAGAAGCAGGCTCCATGCACCGGGAGCCTGACGTGGGATTCGATCCCGGGTCTCCAGGATCGCGCCCCGGGCCAAAGGCAGGCGCTAAACCGCTGCGCCGCCCAGGGATCCCTTGACCTCTTATGATAATGGAATGATTAGAATGTGTTAAAATGAGGTAGGAATTTAATAACTTTAGAATGAAAGCTGGGAATGTAAAGGAAGACAGTAGTCGTGGAAATAACATTACCTTTTTAAAAAGTCTGATTCCATCCATTTTGAGTTTATCTTTGTGTATGGTGCAAGAGAGTGGTCTAGTTTCATTCCTGTGCATGAAGAATGTCCAATTTTCCCAGCACCATTTATTGAAGAGACTGTCTTTTTTCCAGTGGATAGTCTTTCCTCCTTTGTCAAATATTAGTTGACCATAAAGTTGAGGGTCCACTTCTGGATTTTCTATGCTGTTCCATTGATCTATGTGTCTGTTTTTGTGCCAGTACCACACTGTCTTGATGACCACAGCTTTGTAGTACAACCTGAAATCTGTCATTGTGATGCCCCCAGCTATGGTTTTCTTTTTTAAAATTCCCCTGGCTATTTGGAGTCTTTTCTGATTCCACACAAATCTTAAAATAATTTGTTCTAACTCTTTGAAGAAAGTCCATGGTATTTTGATAGGGATTGCATTTACTTCAACGTGGATGGAACTGGAGGGTATTATGCTGAGTGAAATAAGTCAATAGGAGAAGGAAAAAAATTATATGGTCTCATTCATTTGGGGAATATAAAAAATAGTGAAAGGGAATAAAGAGGAAAAGAGAAAAAATAAGTGAGAAATATCAGAAAGGGAGACAGAACATGAAAGACTCCTAACTCTGGGAAACAAACTAGGGGTGGTGGAAGGGGAGGAGGGTGGGGGGTGGGGGTGACTGGGTGGCGGGCACTGAGGTGGGCACTTGACGGGATGAGCACTGGGTATTATTCTGTATGTTGACAAATTGAACACCAATAAAAAATACATTTATTAAAAAAAAGAAATGGAGAATTTTGAAGAACAAGTAATTAATAAAATAATGCTTGTACATTTCAAAAAAAAATTAAAAGTCTGATTCCAAAGTTACTAGTTTTTTAAACTATATACTTGGGTAAAGTCATTATTAAGTGTAATAGTTACAAGTGGTCATTGTGAATGTCTGTTTTCAATTACAGTATGTAGATGCCCCCATGACTCCAGAAACTGTAAACATAGTAGAGTCAATGGCAGAATTATTTGAGGGTTCAGCAGAGATATCTTCAGACCTGTACTCGCTTGCTTCAGCTATATATAACAGTCATCCCCATAATAACTTTCCTGTGAGAAACAGAGCTGAAGACCAGCATTCAGCAGTTGGTAGGTACAATTTCTGTGTTCTCTGAAGCATATTTCAAACCACCAGTGTTAGCTAGCACAGATATGAACCTTAGCTTAGAGTTCAACCAAATTATTAATGGTTCATGGACTGGAGTCAGATTTTTTTCTTCTTCAACTGTTGGATAACCTCATGCAGCAAATGGATATGCCACACAGGCAGGAGCTGGCCCCTCCTAACCCATTTGACCTTCCTCCTGGAGAAAGTAGCACCCTAGAGTCTCTGGCCAAGCTGCATAGACAATCAGTTATTACAGTTGCCAAAGCAGGTGTGATGGGGAGGGATTAACATATCTTCAAATCATTTACAGGCCTCACACTCTCTGCAGCTTTTGACTAATAGGTTTTCAAATGTCACTAAAGGTAAATAGGTCAGAAAGTTACAACTCTAGTGCATGGGGTGTTAAACAGGTGTAGGTGACCCCAGTGATGTGGTGATGTCATTAGTGTATACACTTGCTTTCAGGGTCAATGGATCTTATGGTTTCTAAAAGAAGAATGTCATATATAGCAAATTAAAAATACTTGGTTACATGACACGGGGCTAAATGATCTCTCTGGTCATCTACAAGTCAGAAGAATATTTTTTTCATTGCCTTTTTTTCTGATTTGATAGTTGTCTCATTCCAAATTAAGAGGGTTTTGTTATTTTATTGATGGTAGAATTAGTAAAAAAATATCACATATTTGAAATACATTTGTTTCATTTTCTGATGCATTTTTTCCTGAGCAAAGACTGGAGCAACACTAAAAATTAAGAGGCCCACAATTTCTGATGCAGATGTTTCCTTGAGTATTTTTAATCTAATCAGTGATTAATATTGTTGGGTGCACAAGTTCTTAATAAAAAAATTAACATTTTTTGAAATCCTGTTCATATTTATGTGTCAATTATCCAGGCATGCTTACTTTAAACCTCCAAGGGGTTTAATAAAAGTGTAGTGATTTTTGAATCCAAATAAGTCTCATTTCAATAACATTCACATTACAGCATATCATTGACATATGTTTTAATTTGGTATTATACGTCATCTTTCATTTCAGAAAAAAAACCCTTAGGCAGTCTCTTTTAGAAGCTGTATTTTCTCAAAACACTAGTCTAATGTTCCAGGATGTATTTATTTTTAATTATACATGTTTGTTATTTATATCTATTTTTTATCATTTCACATAAAGGAGTACATAGAGAAATTAATGACTAATGTGAAATCAAGTTTAAGATTTCACTCTGTGAGGAAAAATAATTTTGATCATGATTTTTTTTTTACTGATTTCAAATAGGAACAAGGAATCTGTATATCACTGACATTGCTGCTGAACAGCTGTCTTACGTTATCAGGAGACTTGTACCTTTCACTGAGCACATGATTAGTGTATCTGCTTTCACCATCATGGGAGAAGGACCACCAACGGTTCTCAATGTCAGGACACATGAGCAAGGTAAGAATGTATTTCCTTTGAAATAATTACCTGCAAATATTGCTCTTACACATGATAATACTTTTCCTTTTTGTTCACATGAATTGTTCATTCTTCTTTACAAGTGCCAAGCTCCATTCAAATTATAAACTATAAAAATATTAGTTCTTCATCTATTTTGTTGTATTGGGATCCTCCAGAATATCCCAATGGAAAAATAACTCATTATACAATTTATGCAATGGAACTGGATACAAACAGAGCATTCCAGATGACTACTACAGATAACAGCTTTCTCATAACAGGTAGAAGAATCTTTTTTAAAACATTCCTATTCTGATGAAAATGTGCATCTCTTTCTGCCTTTCACACTGCAGGACACGTGCTGCCTCATTTCAGATTTTGTTATGCTGTGCTGCCATGGATATCTTAAAAATGTGCAGAAATAACTTGATTAAATGTGTTTTCTTTATCTATATTTATCTACAAAAAATGAGATCATCAGACAAGTATGGTAGGAATATACTTAACCCAGAGAATTTTATATCTGGTACATTGAAATGAAGTGTTAAAAGCTTGAATGAATGAATATGAAAATCAGCTGAAGTAACTGAGCTGACATGGCCTTTGTGCCAAGCCAACATAGTTCTTGCAGCATGTCAAAAATTATTTTTCAGCCTCAGATGATTGCCCTAGTATTCAGGAATGAACTAAAATATCATCAAACTGGAAAAACCCTCCAGCCCAAGGAATTTTGGGAGAATAAGATTACAAGGAAACTTACTTGTAGAACCAGTCTCCCAAATAAATTATTTTCACTAGTCCTGTGTCAAATGACCCTAATCCATGAATGTTATTTTATGATCTTTACATAGATTACCTGTTGTCATTGTAGGGTTAAAGAAATACACAAAATATAAAATGAGAGTGGCTGCCTCAACCCATGTTGGAGAAAGTTCTTTGTCTGAAGAAAATGACATCTTTGTAAGAACTCCAGAAGATGGTAAGAATATCAGGCACAATTTTCATAAAAAGAAGCAGGTGGTATTGCATACTTATTGCTTTCTACCTCATGCTCCCTTTAGTGGCTGAAGCAATCAGCATAAAAAAAAAAACACATGGATTTAAAATTTTATTTCATCCCCCAGAACCAGAATCACCACCTCAAGATGTGGAAGTTATTGATGTTACTGCAAGTGAGATAAATTTGAAGTGGTCACCACCTGAGAAACCCAATGGGATTATTGTTGCTTATGAAGTGCTGTATAAAAATATGGATACCTTGTTTATGAAGAACACCTCAACCACAAACATAATTTTAAGGGACTTAAAACCTTACACCCTCTACAACATTTCTGTCCGGTCATATACCAGGTTTGGTCATGGCAATCAGTTATCTTCTTTACTCTCTGTAAGAACTTCTGAGACTGGTAAGCTTTTTGTTTGTTGTTTAATAATACATATAATGAAGTAAACACCATGGATAATTGTCATATTTTTTATATTTTAAATAACCTAAAATCTCTCATCTTTTTTGTATAACCCAGAAATATGTGTTTTTTTTTTTTCCTGGTAAGATGTGGGGTAAAGGCTTGCTGTGTAAATTATTAAAGTCTGATTTACATATTTATGGGAACTCCAACATAAAATCAGTGAATTTTTCAAATGAAAGATCTTGAGAAAACAAGGATCTTTCAGGGTACCTGTAAAATAACCACATGCTTGTAAATTAGCTAAAACCAGAGCACACTCATAAGAATAGATTCCTGTACTCCAATGAGGTAGGTATATGGAAAGAGGAGCAGAGTGGGAGCACAGGTACAGCATGCCTGGGTAAGCCTTATGGAGGAGACAGCATTTGACCTGGATCTCAAAGCATAGGGTAGAATGGATGTTATTAAAGTTGTTGGGTAAACAGGGAGGGGAATATCCTCCCTGGATAGGAAATCATGGAAGCAAGGAATTACACTCTCGTGTTTCAGTTTCAGTGAGACAAAAACAAAAAGCAGATGGCAAGACATTTTGCCTTATGATCTTAGTTTATTGTCATGTTTATAATAATATATTGAAGCGTCACTCTTAATTCAACTCTGTAATTTATGCTGAGAATTAATAACTAAATGTAAAATTACTGTTTTATTTCTACTTTTAAACAATTAAATATTTATTGACTAGCTACTAGCTGAACCATATGGAATTACTATTCCTATGGGTCAAAATGGCCAATATCATCAATTTCATATGGCTCAGCCAGATGCTATATGAGAGGCCCTGTCTCTAACCTTGAGGATCTAGGTATCTAGTAAAGCAGCTTATCTTTGAACAGGAGTACCTTCCTGAGGCTAGTCAAAGAAATTAATAAAATGAGATGACACAAAAGAGCCTATAGAGAATGGCATTCATAATTGCAGGACTGAGAGAATAATGAAAAGAATGTTTTATAGCATCAAGGATTATCTCTTAAAGTGAAATCTAATTTGTATTAAACTATGTATTGGCATGTTTCATTGCTTTTATAGATATTGTTTTTAAAATTAGTATTTTTGTTAAGAAAAATATCTCCTCTTTACCTGACCTAGCTTTATTTTACACTGGGTCAAGGAAAGAAACAAGCATATTTTAAACACCTGCAGAGTGCCATGGGCTATGCTCCTGGCTTTCATGAAAATTACCTTTTTAATTCTAACAGAGCATTAAGGTATTATCTTCATTGCCTAATAAAAAACAGGTCTGAGAGGTTCATCCCTTCAATGAATATTCAGCAAATATTTGCAATATGCCAAGCCCTACTGGGAGTATAGCACTGTAAATGAAAGTGAATTTCTGCTCTCCTAAAGTTAAAATTAATTGGTGGGTGTTTAATTGCTTAAGGTCACCCAGCTGGTAAGTGATAAAGCTGGACCTGGAACCCAAATGTATCAGACTATAAAACATATTTCCTTTCACAGTATAATCTATTTTAGAAGCCATCAATAAAGTTAGTGAATTATAGAATATATCTAGGATCTTTTCTGTTCATTGTTGCAATGATATTTTTCTGTTTGGGCTTTGCACAACATGAGGAAGGAAAGAAGAACTTTCAAAGTTCCTGTTATATTAAACAATCATATTCATGAATGTTTATCAAACACTTCACTACTTAAGTGGTTAGGGCATCAAGAACACCTTATCTTAATGATTATCTGTAGAATAATCTCTTTTATTGTTTGCTAACTACTACATGTATGCAATCTTTAGTATTGAATAAGTAAATTTAATTTTCACTTTATTATCTATTAGATGAGCTTAATTCTAAGGCAGGGATAATAAATCTTCAGTGAATATAAGATTTTAACTTGAAATGTAATTAAAAATGAGAATGCTAGTTTTGGAAAGTGTCTTATAAAACAGAATTCTTTATTTTATAGATGAGGAGACCTAGAAATATTTGAAATGACACAAAAATCAGAGTAGATAAGAAGTAATGTTGGGACTTAGAGGTAAACCTCCTGGCAGCCATTTCAAGCCTCCTGAGCTAGTGAGAAAAGTAAAGAGAAGGAAACAACTTATTCCAGACTCACTGTCTCACCCATTTGGGTGGATATAGGGTCATTTTGATCCTAGACTCTTTAGAAGCAAAACAGAACTGAAAATACGGCATAGTGTTCAATGTCCATACTTCTAATTTCTGACTCTCTGTCCTAAGGTAGGCTACTCTCAACATCTTTGCATTCTTTATTTAGATGGAAATGGTTGACAATGAAATCTACATTAGTGACCTTTTCAAAAGTATGTGTGCTACTTACTATTCAGCCACCAGTTTTAGCTGTTTTCGTAAAAGAGGAAGCTAGAATGTTAAATAGTTTCAAGGTGTCATTTGAAGCAAGATGTACTGAAAAACAACTATCTGTCTGTTTCCAAGGCTTCACAGTCTTATTAAATACAATAAATTCATCCTCTACTCTTATAAAAAAAAACAACAAGCACCAACTTTTCAATATTATTTCATGAGAAATTGAGGGATTGGTTACTAATTGCTGCTAGTTACAAATAAGAATGAATTATTTGTTCACGTGCTTTATCTTGATTGGGGAATCAGAGTTTACTAATTAATGCTTGGGACGTAAAATACTCTTGTATTCACGCAGAAAAAATCAACATGAGGTTGATTTCATGGGTGTGTGAGTGTGTGACAGAGAGACTGTGTTTATGTGTGCTTTAAGTATAGAATGTACAGTTGACAAACAAGATTAATTCATGTTTTCTCATACTTAGGGTTCAATAATCACATAAAGAACTTTAAGTTCTCATGAAAATTATCTTTTGGTGATCTCAATACATTCTCTTTCCTTTTTAAAATCTAACTTTCTTTATGGTAAGCCTTTAACAAATGCTTTGAATATGTCTGATGTGGGGTAACAACCACTAGTAGATAGTAACTTAGATGTTGACCAAAGTTCTGTATAGGACTTTATAATTTATTTATATTAATGAATTGCATTTAAAATTTTTTTCTATGTATCTCTATAACTGTGTATGCCAAACAACAATCTTTTGGCATACTCAAGGTAACTTCTTACTTCCTAATTTAGGACCATCAGAACAAGCTTATTTCTTATTTTTATTTTTTAAATAGGTTCAGCTTATTCCAATTGATTATAATAATTTACTTTTTGTTCATGAGTTATCTGTTTTACACAATACTTCATAATTGGACACTGTATTAGTTCAGAAAACCCTTAAGTGCATCATTACTCTGCAAAATCAGTAAATCATCAAGCCTATCTTTATTTCCCCTGAATCCAGCACTGGTTATCCCCTAAGGATAAATGAATAAAAATGAAAAGGATATCAGCCTAGGGTCACAGATGCATATTTATATTCTGACTACTGGTGGTCGGCAGACAACTGCAGAGGAACAATTCAGCAAGTTCCAATGAGAATTTTTCAAAATCAGAGGTTATACTGAGTTATGAAGTTCAAGCATAGTATTACTAACACCTTTTTTTTCTTGCAGTTAAAGAACTATTCAATCTTGTTTTGCTTAGCTTTGAATTTCTCTCTTGTTTTTAAACATATTTTATGTCATGTTGAACATATCTATTCATGGCCTGAACAGGTTTTTATGGACTCATAAGCTTTGTAGATACAGCAGTAAGACAAAATTCCTACCTTCCTGGAACTTAACATTCTAGAAGTTTCACAGAAAATAAACCAGTAAACAAACAATATATGACTTTGGTAGTGGTAAATTCTAAGAAGAAGAAAAAACAGGGAAAGAAGAAAGAGTTATGGATTAGTAAGCAGGCTATTTGAGGTAGAGGGCTGAGAGAAGCCCTCTCTGAAAAAATTACATTTGCCCAGATATATAAGAGTAAGTTAGATGAGGAAAAGGGGGAAAAAAGTGCTCCAGAAGGAGGAATAACAATAGCCAAATTCCTGAAGTGGGAAGATACTTTATGTGGTTGAGGAAGAGCAGAGCATTTCTGTCATTCAAGTAGCATGAGTTATGGGGAGAGAATTAGTAGATGAGGAGAGAGAGGCTGGCAAAGGTAGACTGTGCAGATTCTTGGTGTTATTCTAAGAGTTTAGGGTTTAATTAATAAGTAGATATTGAAGAATTATGGCAAGAATATGATACGATTTGTAGTTTTGGAAATCATTGCTGCCTATGTTGGATTTGGGAATGAAGAGAAGAATCATGACTTCTAGATGTTTTGTTTGAATATCCGGGTGAATGGTGGTACCATTTACTGAGAAAGGGAAATCTAGAGAAGAGTCAGTTTGGAGGAAATTCAGTTCTATTTTGAACATGTTTTACATATCTGAGTACCTGTCATGAAGGCAATTGGATATGTAAGTTTGAAACTTGGGGAGACGATCCAGGGTTGAATACACAATTTGAAGTCAAGGGATGAGATAAAGTCATATCAGGGGGTGTGTAGATAGAAATGGAAAGAAGCAGACACCTATGTTCTGGGGTAATGTGACCTATAGACTTTGGGAAGTCAGAGAGGATTTAGTCAAGGACTAAGTAGAAGTAGGCAGTGGTAAGGTAGAGGAAAATCAGAAGACTGAATCTTTTTTTTAAGATTTTGTTTATTTGATACACAGAGAGAACACAAGCAGGGGGAAAGGCAGAGGGAGAGGGAGAAGCAGGCTCCCCATGGAGCAGGAGCCCTATGTGGGGCTCCATCCCAGAACCCTGGAATGATGACCTGAGCAGAAGGCAGATGCTTAACCAACCAAGTCACTCAAGTACCTCCAGAAGATTGTGTCTTGCAAAGCTAGTGAATAAAGATTTTCAAGTGGAAGGAATTTATTTCCTATGTCAAATACTGCTGTCAGGGAAGTAAGTAAGATGAGCACATACAACTGTTTAGTGGTTGGCAATATGGAGATCACTGGTGACTTCATGACAGTAAGTTTCATGGAAAAAATGGGAGGAAATACCCAACTGAAATGAGGCTAAGACAGAATGACATATTTAAAAAGTGGAGAAAATGAGTAAAGGTGAATTTTGAGCAATTTTGATGTATTATAGAGGCCAGAATGGAGCAAAGGTTGAAAGGGCAAAGAGAATCAAGCATCTTTTTCCCCCCACTTTTGCTGTGATACAACATGTGTGTTCCTATGTATACAAGATAGAAATAAATCAACAAAAAGAAAATAATGCAACAGAAAGGGAATAACTTCAATTCTAAAACCTCTGATTAGATAGAATTTAATCTAGCACAGAAATGGAGGGCTAGGCAAATCTCCATCAACTGTTGAATGGATAAAGAAAATGTGGTATATTTATACAATGGAATATTATTAACTCAGCCATCAAAAAGAATGAAATCTTGGCATTTGCAATGACGTGGATGGAGCTAGAGAGTATTATGCTAAGCGACAAAAGTCAGAGACAAATCTCATAGGATTTCACTCAAATGGGGAATTGAAGAAACAAAACAGATGAACACAGGGGACAAAAAAGAGAGGCAAACCAGGAAACAGACATTTAACTACAGAGAACAAACTGATGGTTATGGAGGAGGAGGTAGGTGGGGGATGAGTTAAATAGGTGATGGGGATTAAGGAGGACACTTACGATGAGCACTAGATGTTGTATGTAAGTGATGACTAGCTAAATTCTACATCTGCAACCACTGTTAACACTGTGTATTAATGAACTAGAATTTAAATTAAAACTTGAAAGAAAAAAAGCAGGGCAGGGCTATGCCTTGGAAGGGAGTAAGGAGAGAAAGCAGTTAAAGGAAAATCAGTAGAAGGAAGATAATGCAGTTCTCTTCTGAGTGTTTTTATTGTCACAATGAAGCGGGAAGCAAGTTTATCAGCTTTGAATACGAAGTGGGGAGGGAATTTTGGATGTTTGTGGACAGAGAAGATGGTGAAAACATACATAACAGAGCTGTAGATGGAGCTGAGTAAGGTAAAATAAAGGCTGCTGGAAAGTGGAAATAATTCCTTTGAAATTTGAGGTTTAAATTTATTTTATTTTATTTTAAATTTTATTTATCCATGAGAGACACAGAGAGAGAGAGAGAGAGAGAGAGGCAGAGACACAGGCAGAAAGAGACAGAGGCAGGCTCCATGCAGGGAGCCTGATATGGGACTCAATCCCAGATCTCCAGGGGCACGCCCTGGGCCGAAGGCTCAACCACTGAGCCACCTGGGCATCCCGTGAGGTTTAAATTTAAATGAGACTAGTTGGCATGGAGTTTTGTTTTCTATAGATGTTTTCAGCTGTTCCATTGTGCACCTGGAACTAGCACTGAGCTCAGTTTAACCCGAATTGCAATTTTGCTGAAAAGCAAGATGGAAATGGAAGGAGTTGATGGGGATTGCTAGGGACAGGTTTTGGTGGTAGGTAATGGGCTCTTGCCTGAGTGAGTAGGAAGATGAGGACATAAGGGAGGGGATGAACACTGAAGTTTTGGTGAGGGACAAAGAACTGTTGGGTTGTCAGTACAAAGGTCAGTAAACTGGAAAGATAGGAGGTATTGCCAAAGAAAGGAACACTGGCAGTTATTGGTAATTAACAGGGTTTGGGGTATAGACAAGTAAAGTGAAGTGGAGGAAAATTTGGAATAATGGAGATCAAGGAATACAGAGTCCAGGGAATTGGACAGATCATTTGTGTTGATGGTGACATCTCTTAAGATTGGTAGAGAGGAAGTCAGTCATCCAGGTGATAAAGTTTTTCCTTTTTTAAAAAGTTTTTATTTTAATTCCAGTTAGTTAACATACAGTGTAATATTAGTTTCAGGTGTACAATATAGTGATTCAGCACTTTCAGCCTTCGCCCAGTGCTCATCACAAGTGCCCTCCAAAATCCTCATCATCTATTTCATCCATCTCCCTGCCCCTCCCCTCTTAGGTGATAATATTTTTAAGATGCTTGAAGAAGTGGCATAGTATCACTAAATGACTCTTAAGGAGGGGTAGCACTAGGGTTTTTCAGGTAGAAGGAAGTAGACATAATCTGAAAATGCCAAAAAGGAGCAATAAATGGAGCTGCTGAACTCCCGGGTCCTGCAGTTATAGGGATTGTTGTTGCTGTTTTTTTTTTTTTTTTTTTTTTAAGATTTTATTTGTTTATTCATGAGAGACACAGAGAGAGGCAGAGACCAGGCAGAGGGAGAAGCAGGCTCCATGCTGGGAGCCCGATGCAGGACTCAATCCCGGGACTCCAGGATCACAACCTGAGCCAAAGGCAGATGCTCAACCACTGAACCAGTCAGGTGTCCCAAGGAAAGATTCTTATAATAGGACTTTATAAGAGCAATAATGTTTAACCCCTCAAATTAGTTATTAATGTTATTGTTGCATGCAGGCAACTTTTAAACCATTATCTTTGCAACTGTGGTCTTTCATCTCCAGTAAATATTTTTCTGCATAACATGCATTGTTTATAATTTCATTCATGGAGGATTTTCTGACTTTGATTGTCTAAATATGTTTTTATTTTGCTTTTGTCAATTTTTCTGAGTCTATAATTCCAGTTGTTTTTCATTTGAGGTAATTTGTCAGTCTAATTGTCATTCCTGTGTAGATGACTTGTCTTTTTTTTTTAAGTGTCAAGATCTTTTCTTTCACAATAGTGTGTCTAAATATGATTGTTTTAAAATATTTTCCTCCTGGGAAGTTATTGAGATTTCTTGACCTGATGTTTGATATCTTTCAACAATTTTGAAAGGTCTCAGCCGTTATCCTTTTAAATATTTCTTCTTTCTCATCCTCTCTGTTATCATAGACTCCTTTGGTATATATTCCATGTCTCTTACCTGCCATTTTATATTTTCCATGTTTTCTTTCTCTGAGCTACATTCTTGATAGTTTTTCAATACCGTTATCCTTTTCATTAAATTTCTCTCTATCTCTATCAAATGTGCTTTTTTATACATCAAAAGAATTTTGATTTCAATTATTTTGTTTTTTTTTTTTATTCCAGAAGGCCTGTCTGGTTCTCTTTCAAATCACTTGGCAATATGTATCATTTATTATTATCTGAAGAATTCTTTGCTCATATTTTCAAATCTGTTGATGTGTTAAAATACATTAAAGATTTATTTTTTTTCTTTGGTAAATTCAATATCTGAAGTCTTTTGAAGTGTGACTGCTGTGGTTTGTTTGTGGGGACATGGGAGTGGGGAGACCGAGAAATTTTCTTGTTCTTTGCTTTCTTTACTGGTGCCTGAACTTGCTTATGTGTTTAGTGATTTTATCAGTCAGCACATTTTCATTGAAATTTATCTATGGTGCATTCATGTGGCCTAAGTAGAAGCTGAGTTCTTCCTGAGAGGATTTATGTTTACTTCTGCTAGTTGCTTTTGAGTAACAGCAATTCCATTACAGATTCATTTTAATTTAAGTTCTGAAGAGAAGGTTTTTCAGATAGCATGGATTTGAGCCACATAGGCTTTTAGGGATAGGCATGAAGTTCCAAAACTGCTTAATTTTTCTTTCTTTTTCACTTCTTCATCCAGAGTGGAGTGAGGAAAAAAAAAATTCTTCTCTGTCCTCTTTTGTATGGTGGGTTTACTTCTCACTCCCTCTTCCCTGAGGGTGAACACATGACTTTGCACAAGATCAGGGGTTGCAACTCACTGAATTCTGTGGCATTCTGCAGAGGAATTCAAGGTACCCCCTAGAGTTGTCCAGTAAAATGGTTTAAATTGTGTTCTTTTGGTTTTCCAGCTTCTTTTTTAATTATCTTTTTTTTTAAAATTTTTATTTATTTATGATAGTCACACAGAATGAGAGAGAGAGGCAGAGACATAGGCAGAGGGAGAAGCAGGCTCCATGCACCGGGAGCCCGACGTGGGATTCGATCCCGGGTCTCCAGGATCGCGCCCTGGGCCAAAGGCAGGCGCTAAACCGCTGCGCCGCCCAGGGATCCCAGTTTTCCAGCTTCTTACACAGGGATACCACTTACTCTTCTCCTGGCCCAAAGACTTTATCTTCTTTATCTGGCATTTTGCAGATATTCAGCTGTTAATGCAAAAACTCAATACACCAGGATTGACCAGTACCTTCCAAGACAAAGCTGGCTTTAGTACCAGCTTCCATTTCAGGATACATATCTTTACTTTGTTTTTTGTTTAATTTTTTTTCGCTTTTGTTTTTTGACTACCACAGATTTCTAACTTTCCTGTCAACTCTGCAATTCCTTTAAAAAAAGTTGTTTGTTTTAACCTTATGAAGAGTTTTGTTTTAATTAAGAAACTCATTCAGTTTAGGGTATCCGTTTCAATATTTACCAGAGTTAGAGTCCCACATGTAGTACTAGTATTTGAATATATGTGGAGAACCATTTTATGACCATTGCATTGAATACAATAAGAACATTCGTAGATACATAAAACTAGTATTTTATTTAATGATAATCTTGTATCTTTAGGAAACTAGTTTCCTTCCAGGTCATAATGTGCAACATTGTGTCTAGGAGAGGTTCCTTGCGTTGTCATACACCTTGTTTTATACCCAAACTAATTATTAGACTTTTAAATATTATCATTATTAATGAAAGGCAGAATTGATTTTTAGGCGTTTTTCAAACTTCTTTCTTGCATTTGTGTGTTTTACCATGATAGTCTAATTAATACCATCTTAAGCATTTAAATAAAAATATCATCCTATAAGCATTATTCCATAGAATCATAGTATGAATATTCTTTTGAGATGCAATTTCTTATATAGTTATAAGTGTATAGGCTTTGTGTCTCTTATTCCATTTAGGATGTTCTTATATATATATATATCCTAGTTACTTAGGTAAAGACTTAAGCAAAATGTGTTCTTTTTCAGAATATATTTTTAGGATGAAATTATTTTATGTGTTTATATTTTTATCTTTTCCCAGTGCCTGATAGTGCACCAGAAAATATTACTTACAAAAACATATCTTCTGGAGAGATTGAGCTATCATTCCTTCCCCCAAGTAGTCCTAATGGAATCATACAAAAATATACAATTTATCTCAGGAGAAGTAGTGAAAATGAGGAAAGAACTATAAATACAACCTCTTTGACCCAAAGCATTAAAGGTAAAAATAATATATGATGTTTGGCATTTATATTAATATTGACAGTATGGCCACAAAATATCAGCTTGCTGTTATATTATAAATGGTAAATATGATTAGTCTTTTACAGGGCATGACAATTCTTTAAGTTAAATAAGCTAGGCATTTATTACAGTCACATGAAAGAATACTCTAAGTCAGTCCTTTGTTACATTATTCTATATACTTTGTCTTTGTAATAGGACTTGCTGTTTGAAAATGCTTCATTTTCATTTAGTTTTACTTTTGGAATTTTAAAAGTCATTTCATAGTTTGCCTCTTGCATGTTATTAAAGGATATTTTATAAGTCTTATCTATTTAATTTCTTTTTAGGACTGAAGAAATATACCCAATACAAGATCGAGGTGTCTGCTAGTACACTCAGGGGTGAAGGAGTGCGGAGTAAGCCCCTAAATGTACTGACTGAAGAAGATGGTAATATAGTAGTGGATACTGATATATTTTGGATCCATCACATTTCAAAACAATATGTGTATAAAATGAAGATATAATGTAAAAAGTCTCATAGACTTGGGTATCAGTTGTGTACCATGCCGACATCATACAAAGATTTCACTGGCATGGAATAAAGAGAAACTAGCAAAGTCAGATTTGTGTTCAATAAAGTCAGGTATAAAATGTTCTTTTTTGATTCTGAAGTCTCCCGTGCTCTGTAAAAAATCAGTAATTCTTTTTCATGGGAATTCTTAAGGCTAAAATTTTGGTCTGAATGGTTTAAACATCACCTAATGTATGTTACGACTGTGTTTTTAAGCTTTAACGTTCATAAGAATAGACATTTACATCGGTTTTGAGGTAGACTCTGTAATGTTAACCTACAATCTTTTTTACCATATTAGGATTAGGTTGCTAATGAGTTCAGGCCTGTTTCCAGGTTTCTCTACATAATTCGCCATGATGCTATTCCTGAATGTTAATAGCCTTCATATTGAATATTTAAACGTATCTTTTCCTTACCTGAATAAAATCAACTTTACTACTGAGACCACTTTACACTGGTACTTCACCAAGTTCTAGGCATATATCATGCTAAGAAAACTACTTCTGAGGAATGTATTTGGGATTTGGATTTGCATTTTATGTTTTATACATGGTATATATTTGAGACTGTTATTTTTGTTTCTGCAAAAGGAAGTCCTATTGTAATGGGGGGAGGGTAGGTATGTATCCTAAGTGTATCTTCCCCCACCCTTCCAGTTTTCCCATCTTCAAGTTTGGTTGGATTCTGTCGATGTTCAGATTCTAGGCATTCATCAGGACAAAATGTGCATTATATACTTCTAGAAGAAGGAAGGCTTTTCTCTGCATCATTCTTATTTTATTCAAAATAGTCTTCAGAGCCTTCTCCTCTATTTCAGGTCCTTCCCTGTTTTTCCCTCCACCAGATTACTTCACCAAGGCATCCTAGTGGTCGGCTCTGGTTTGTCCCAGGTTCTAAGTACTCTCATGGATTGGTCTTCCTTAGTCATTGCCTCTACTTACTATACTTATTTCTCCACCAAAACTCATATGTCCAAATTTTCATTTTTTCATAGTGCAGTTGTTTGTGTTGAGAGAAAGTTAAAATTAGCCTAATAAATAAATCCTTCCCAATGAGACAATTGTTAAAAACTGTGGCAGGGGTGAAGATAGCTCTTTTTTCCATTTTATTTATTTATTTTTTTCTTTTTTCCATTTTATATAATGCCTAACAAAGATGTACTATATCATTTATGCAATGCCCTTCTAGATATAGTACCTAACTTATCTTTTTCCAATTTAATGAAATAGTCCTGATGGTGAGAAATTAAGGTCTTATATGAAGGAACCCAAACCAGTAGTAAACATATATTCTGCACAGATTTTTTTTTTTACCACTTAAATCAATAGTTTCAACTTACACCATGTACCTGAATTACCTGGACTGTTAAACTCACCATCTAAGTCCTTGGCCAAGTCATTGGTATAAGTGTTAATGAACAGGGTGAAAAACAAGACTCCTTTATTGAAAAATCAGAGCAAATTAAGGATGGATAAAGGACTGAGAAGCTTTGCTTTATTGGGTATCAGGTGCTCTTCACTCTCATGAAACTTGCGATTTAAGGGAAGAGATCTAAATTTGATTTGTGTATGGACAAATAATCTTAAAACTTTACTCACTGGTTTTTAAGTATTCCCCCAAATTACTCCTCAGGACAAAGGAGGGATTTTAGCTATTCTCAGGCATCAGAGAGAGTGTAGCTGGGGAAGTTACATCTAAGCTATGACCTAAAGGAAGGTGAGTGAAGAGAGAGGATAGGATGAGAGATAGGAAAGACCATGTGAGCCAAGGGAGGATGAGTCTGTGCATCCCCTTCGCACCTACTCTCATATGCTCTGTTATATGAATTGGATAGATTTCAAAAGATGTTATTGCATTTATGTATTCTAAATTTTCCTTCCTTTTTTTGAAGTAAATTTAATTTTTAAAAAATTTATTTTATGACTGGAAGTTTGTACCTCTTTTTAAGGATATTTATTTATTCATTTATTTATTTATTTATTCATTCATTCATGAGAGACACAGAGAGAGAGAGAGAGAGAGAGAGAGAGAGAGAGAGAGGCAGAGACACAGGCAGAGGGGAAGCAGGCTCCACGCAGGGAGCCGGATGCCGTACTCGATCTCAGGTCTCCAGGATCAGGCCCTGGGTGCCTTCAGGTGGCGCTAAACCGCTGAGCCACCCTGACTGCCCCTGTACCTCTTAATCCCTTTCACCAATTTCATTTTTTTTATTGTGTTTCAGAATGCAGATGCCAAAATGATTAAAGCTTAGTGTGCTATAGTACATATTTTGTTTAGTTGACATGTTAATTATATTAAGTTAGCAATAAAAAGCTTTACATAAAAAGTAAAATACCCAAGGATATACTAAAATTAAAAATAAAACAGAATTTCTGATATTTGACATGAAAGTCGTAAAACATATTATAGAATAGAAATGCTTAGTTACAACATACTATGTTCTACATCACTACTATTTTTTATTGAAATCCCTTTTTTCCAATAATAAACAAAAGTTAAGTTTGCAAAGATGTTAGAAAAAAATACCATAGGCTTTTGTTTTGACAAATGAAAGAGTTCTCAGAATAATTCAGATCTTGGGAAACAGACATTTCCAAGTGACATATGGATTCTTGTGATAATCAATATTTGATAGCATTTTTATTGTAGGGCCTGTGAGAATACCAAATGAAAATACGAATATAGCTGTCACCATTATTCCTTAGAATTCATCTCATAAAACTTTTCTCTACTCAATAATTCTTTTGTTGTTGGAAAGTTGTTACCAAAATGATGAAAACACACATATACACATATAGGCATAGGTACACACACAACTCTAGTCGAGATTATTCAGAAAATCAAAAGAAATTAAAATAATTCAGATGGCATTTTCCCAAATTATTGGAAAAAAGTGATATGCACATGTGCTCATCTATAAGTTAATGTTGTTCAAAGCAGATCTGGGCAAATTCTTAAAACTTCTACTAGCTACCTATGAATTCACTTTCCATATATAACTATATAACAGTGATAAAAAAAAGTTGTAGTAATTTATACTCTTCTATATGCAAAAAATTGTATATTAATCTTCTAAGACATTACTGTGGTGTTACACAGACCTGAGAAATGCCATCCTAAATGTTTTATCTAAATGTAAACCTAAACTTGGCTAAGTAGGTTGCTAGTAATCTTTTTTAGTGCTTATACGGTGCAGGATGGCTAAGGTATTTGAATCCTTATGCTGTTCTAGCAGAATTAGAAGTAGACCCTAACCTGTCCATACTCTTGTTTATGTGCTACATTGGTTTTCTTTGTCACCATTCAATTTTGAAGACTCCCAGAACAGATTTTGATACTACTTTACAGTTAAATGACAACCGAAATTGAGGAATGTAGTTTTTATTTGTGAGGTCAGTCATTTTAACTTCTCTCCCAGTGTTATGCTTATCACTTTACCACTTCTTGAATGTGTGATTTTCTTCTACTTCTTTTTATTGTTTGAGGAGCACTTTCACAACATATTATATTTATTCACCCCAGTCGTCTTATTTTTACTAGAGGATGATAATTTACTGAGATGTACTTGAACAGTAGGTGAATCACTGTGACATACCCCTTGTTCTTTTTTCTCATGAAATATATTTTTCCATTGAATCACAGAAACAGATGTTCTAACACCACCATGCAAAATCTCTTTTTATCATCTCATTTTGAAAATAAACAATTAGTCTCCCATGCTCACGAAGAAAGGCAGTGAACTTGATTCATTTACCAGCATGTTTATAATGAAAACTTAGTGCGTCTCCATTTTAGCCTTCTCTTATATATGTTTGATAAAATGTACTATCCTTACCCTAACTTTTCAGCTCCTGATTCTCCCCCCCAAGACTTCTCTGTAAAACAGTTGTCTGGTGTCACGGTGAAGTTGTCATGGCAACCACCCCTGGAGCCAAATGGAATTATCCTCTATTACACAGTTTATGTCTGGTAAGAATTTTTTTCTTTTTTGGAAATAGTTCTGAGAACAAGTATTAATCTGTAACATAATAGGAATGTAGTTTTTTTTATTTCAGAATGTGATGCTACATTAAGAACCTGATTGTTAATGGGCTAGTTAATATTTTTTTTTTAAGAAACAAGTCTTTCCCATAGTATGCAGAGGTCCAAGCATTGTTAAATAACATAATTTTTGTACCTAAAAAAGTATATATCATGCATAATTATACTAAATTTCTGCTCTTAAAAGCCACTGACTGATCAACTTATGTGACTACAAGCATATAATTTAAACTCAGAGTTTTACACAAATATTCTGTATTGTCACTGTCTTGTTAAGTTTGAGCAGAACAATTTTAACTAAAATTTAACTGAAGAATATTTCTTCAGAAATATGTTATTTAAGGTCAAATTTCTAATGAAATTTAAGCAGTGTATCTATTTTTTTCTGATTACCTTTACCCTGATTGCCTATTTATGTCAGTTGTGAAAAAGATTAAATCCTATAGCACATCTCATGTCAATTAACGACATAGCTCTACTGCTTCATGAAAACTCAATACATAAAAACCATCACTTTGATCTAACGTACGTCCTCTTGAAAAGATTCACCAGTTATATATCTCATAGTAAATTTTAAATATTTAAACTCAGAAAATACAATTTATGTAATACTTTATATAACATAGGCATTTCTTAACCTTTATATTCCTGACTTGAAGGTCCAACATTGAGAGGCTACGATGTTTTAAAGAAGTCTACTCTTAACTCTCCTAAACTAAGACTTTTCTTTCCTTAATCTCTCTTTAAACCCTTTGCATACCATTCTCTAGGACTACATTTTCCATTTGTTGGCATTGCCTGATATCTAGTCATTTTGTCTAGTCATAGAGAAATTGAGAGTGACATGAGAAATACCAGTAGGAAGAGAAGCAATGAGAAGGTAACTGTTCTCCTCTGTGGCCTGGTTTATCCATTTTTCATGACTTCATTCAACAAAATTGATAAAGTGCCTATATACCAGTGAGCAAGAAGCCCATATGACTCCTGCCCTCAAGGAACTTAAATTCCAAAGTGATAAATGGACTATATGTCTCATAAACAAATGAAGGAAAGTCAGGGAAAAGATGGCTACTTTTGATGGGATGCTTGAGGAAATCCTTTTTGAAAAAGTGGTTTTGAGTTACAATCTGGATGACAAGAAGGAGCTTTTTGTCATGTGAAGATCTGCCAGGTGGGATTTTCCAGGAAGAAAGAACATCAGCTGTATGGGCTCTGTGAAGAAACATAATTTGTCATTTTGAAGACCAGAGAGGTCAGTGTTGTTGGGGGTTAGAGAGACAGAGTAATACTGAGGAGAAGGAGGCAGACAAAGGTCAGAAGCCAAGCCACAATAAGGATTTGATTTTTCTTTTTAACTGTAATAAGACTTATTAGAGAATTTTAAGTATGTTGGATACTCTATGGAGAAAGAATTGTACATGGCAAACTGTTAGCAGGGATACTAGCTCGGAGACTATTTTGGTAGTCTGGGGAATAGATGTTATTGACAATGGAATAGATAAATGGGTAGATTTATTTCTACATTTGGAAAGGAGAGTTGACGACATAGCTCTACTGCTTCATGAAAACTCAATACATAAAAACCCTCACTTTGATGTATTGACTGTGGGGTAAAAAAAAGAGAAGAGAGAGAGAGAGAGAGAGAGAGAGAGATATGACTCGATGATGACTTTGCAATGTTTGACATTATTTTACTGAGTTAGAAAAAAAAGAAAGTCAAACAAGTTAATAAAAGTGAAAATCAAGATTTTACCCGCTGGGGCTTCTGGCCCACACTGTGGGACAGTCTGGTCTGTCTGTATAGTGATCCTGCTGTCAGTTCCACTCCATAGTGGTGCTTTCTCTCTCCTGTTTTGAGGTGTGTCTCTTTTCTGTCTCACCTCATAGAATGGATTCTAAGTGCAAGGGAAGCCCCCTGAAAGTGGGGTCAGAGAATCTCAGGTCTGTGATACATCTCATCTGGCTCTTAGGGAATCCCGCTGCTGCCCACCTGCAGTCATAGCTTCTAGTTTTAAGATGCTGATCTTCTGTTTTATCCTTGATCCAACCTCAGGCTTCTTCTAGTGCCCTGGCTCCCTTGGCTTGTCTGTCTCAACCTTCAGATAGCTAGATGCTCTCACCATTCTGCAGTGGGAAGATGCAAAAGGTGACTTCCACATCCTTCCCTAGCTCCAGATGATCTGCTAGAGGGGCTTTTATATCTTGCTGAACATGGTGGCGTACTGAATACAGATGTTTTTTAAGAGGCTTGTCATTTTTCTCTTCATCCTGAAAAGGAGCAAGCCCCTCTTCCTGTCATTCAGAGAGTTATTCATAGAGACATTGGACCAGAGAAGTTGCTCCCAGGATCAGCTGGAGAGTTTAAGATTGCAAAATTAGGGTGGTCAGTACATGCTGTATCCTCCAAGAGAACTACCTCCCTCCTTTGTAGAGGGAGCCAGGGACCTCCTGTTAAGTCTATTTAAGTATATTCCCAGTTGTAGGCTGACTCTAAAAGAAACACTTGAAACTCCTCCTGGATCACAGCAAATTCATCAAAACTAGCAAATAACCAAAGAAGCAAAGCATTAGGTAGCAAACAATCTTAAGACTCTTCTAGGGAAATAAATCCTTGATCCAGGGCTGCTGTATAATCTGTCAAAAACAGGCTATGACATGTATTTTACTGTGGACTGCCTGCCTGAATCTAGAATGCTACTGAAAGTTATATGTATACACACACATACACACTAAGCAGGCAGGATCTCAGCCTCTCCATTCAGAAAGTTCCACTTCAATAAATAAGACACTCTGAAGTCAAAGAAGCCATAAGAATCATGCTAACTTCACTGATTTCATAATCCAGAGGCAAGGTTCAAGTGCAGCTGCCCCACGGCCTGTTTTGAGTAAGGTGTCCTTGTGAAAAATGAACTTGGAGTCCAGTTGTGGGAATGTGCCTCTTTATCCTGACTTGTTCGGTTAAAGAGCCGTTCAATGACCTTCCAAGTGCCTGAGTATGTGTGTAACAGTACTACTGGGCAGCCAAGCCCAATACAGCTATTGGAATGAATATGTTAATCTTTCTTTTTAGGTGTTAAAATAAGGATTTTTTTAAAAGGATACATAAATTTATTAAAACTTTAAATATATTTCACAATTTACTGAAATTAGAGAAATGGCTTTTAATATATTAAGTCTAGCAACTTAGACATCCCAGGAATTAGATTTCAAAGGTCAGAGAAAGAACTCCTTATTAAAGGTTTTAACATTACATTTTTTTGTTGTTAACCTGGGACTTGGAACACTTTTGGAAACATGGGATTAAATTCTGGCACTGCCATTCAATTATCTGTGTGGTTCTCTTAAAATACTGTATAAATGGTGGTATCATTATTAGCAGCATTCCTGTTTCAAGGATTCACATTTCCCTCATACTTCTCAGGTTTCATTATTTTTGTTGTTCCAATTATTACCAAACTGTTTTTAAAAACAGCATCTTTGGATGTTTGCTATTTTCAGTTTGTCTGTAAAATGCAAACTGCCGATTTTATTCATTATACCGGATGACTTCTCTGTTTGTCATGAATATTTCTCTACAAAATGAGGGTTAACGTGCAGACATTTTTGACCAGCGATGGCTAAAATTAGCCATCACATTTGTGATGAGTCACATTTGATTTTTAGATGGCATGCTCGTTTTTTAGTTTAAAAAATTTCTTTAATTTAAATTCAATTTGCCAGCATATATTATAACACCCAGTGCTCATCTCATCATGTGCTCTCCTTAATGCCCATCCCCCAGTTACCCTAACCTCCTATCCACCTCCCCTTCTGCAACCCTTTGTTTGTTTCCCAAAGTTAAGAGTCTCTTATGGTTTGTCTTCCTCTCTAATTTTTCACCACTCAGCTTCCCCCTTTTCCCTTATAATCCCTTTTACTCTTTCTTATATTCCGCATATGAATGAAACCATATGATAATTGTTATTTCTCTGATTGACTTATTTCACTCAGTGTAATACCCTCCAGTTCTATGCACGTCAATATAAGTGGTAGGTATTCATCCTTTCTGATGGCTGAGTACTATTTCATTGTGTATATAGACCACATCTTCTTTATCCATTCATCTGTCGAAGGACATCATGGCTCCTTCCACAGTTTAACTATTGTGGACATCGCTGCTATGAACATTGGGGTGCAATGTCCTATCATTTCACGATCATTTCACTACAGCTGTATCTTTGGGGTAAATACCCAGTAGTCAAATTACTGGGTTGTAGGGTAGCTCTATTTTTAACTTTTTAAGGAACCTCCCCACTGTTTTCCTGAGTGGCTGCACCAGTTTGCATCCCCACCAACAGTGCAAGAGGGTTCCCCTTTCTCCACATCCTCACCAAAATTTGTTGTTTCCTGTCTTGTTAATTTTAGCCATATTTACCAGTGTAAAGTGGTATCTCATTGTGGTTTTGATTTGTATTTCCCTGTTGACAAGTGATGGGGAGCATTTTTTTTTCATGTGCTTGTAGGTCTTCTCCGTTCATGCCTTCTGCTCATTTCTTGACTTGATTCTTTGTTTTTTTCGGGTGTTAGGTTTGATAAGTTCCTTATAGATCTTGGGTACTAACCCTTTATCTGATATGTCATTTGCAAATATCTTCTCCCATTCTGTAGGTTGCCTTTTAGTTTTGTTGACTGTTTCCTTTGCTGTGCGGAAGCTTTTTATCTCCATGAAATACTAATAGTTCATTACTGGTTTTGTTTCCCTTGACTTTATGGACATGTCTTGCAAGAACTTGCTGTGGCCAAGGTCAAAAAGTTTGCTGCCTGTGCTCTCCTCTAGGATTTTGATGGATTCCTATCTCACATTTAGATCTTTCAACCATTTTGAGTTTATCTTATGTAAACTTAACTGCATTTTATTTTTTAATTTTTTTAACTTACTGCATTTTAAA